TCTTGTACTGTTGATTCTCCTATACTATGGAACTAACTAATAAGTATTACAATACCGTTAAAGTGAAGTAGCAAGTTTACTCGTTTCATTTTTATCACCGCCAATTTATCAATACTCGCTTGTAAATAATTGTAGGAAAAGGGCCGAGAGATGTGCAACTAGCCATTAAACCCGCCCCGTTCTCGAGCCTACCAAACTTCTCATCCTCCCACAGGCACCCTCCTGTATCCACCACCACCAATTATCATCCCCTGCTCGCAAATATCCACTATCGAGCACAATCTACGAGCGAGATTACTTCGATTCGCCGATAAATAATGCACCACTCGATCGCTCCTCGTAACAGGAAGAAAGCTCCAACAGTCGCGGGGGTGGTTGTCCCCGGTAGAAGGCATGTATCATCGCATAGCGACGGTGGTCGAGCGTGAAAACGCGTTCTTATCTACGTCAGACTGCTCGGAGGGTGAACAACGCGTACCGTGGCGCGCGTATTACAAATAAATGACGTTCTCAGCGACGACGGAGGCTCCTCTGCACGAGAGAAGGGGAGCCTCGTGCGGGGGTTGAAGAGTCGTTTTCGCGCGTGACTCACTATACCGCGGTCACGCCACCCTCGAAAAACATCGCGCCACTTCGATGCCCGATATTCCCAGTATGTTTCTCTCTTTCACCCCTTCCCACAGACGATTTCACCCTTGGTGTTTCGCTATCTGGCAAACGGTGAACGGGGGTTGGAAATACCCTCGCTTGTACGGCATGCATTATAGATCCTGCTGGGTTCGGGGCTCAGATTAGAGAAGGTGGAGTGGAGTGGGCGTGCGTCGGTGCAAAAATAGTCCACGCTCAGAAAGGCAATAGCTTTTACACCGCAGACCCCACGAATACGTGTGCCATGACTCGTGTACTGTGTCCACGGAGCGTAAGCGTGTATTTTCAGCGAACGCGTCGTCTCAACGGGCGGCGGCCACTCCTCCGCTCGAGCCTTCACGAATTTTAATGCGTGCGCCAAGGAAAAGTTGCACCACGGAGCCCCTCTGATCCTTGCACGACAACAATCGACAATAAATAAGCCTGCACGACTACGAGGGAAGATAGTGATGTGGCTTGCAATTATTCGAAGGTGTGTCCAGGGGGGGTTGAAGAGTAAGCGCCCGTCTTCCTGGTCGAGAAATATGATACCGTGATACTGTAATGATTCCTTAACTCTTCCCTTCGTCCTCCGCTCCGCTCTTCCAAAATTCTTGAACGAACGTAGTCCGAAATTAAATCACGAGAGAAACGTCAGATAGTTACCAAATACGAATTGCGAATATTATTAGACGAATGGAGGAAATGAGAATGATCTTGGGTTTCCAAAGTTGGATACTGTAAGTGGCTGGCCTAGTTTTAGCACACTTGTATGCTCAGCACAGTTGGTATATAATATATATATATTTATATTGCAGACTATCTTACGGCATAAATTTTTGAATAAAATAATATATATGCATATTTGATGCGAGCAAACTTTTTCTCTTCCTGTTCCTTTCTATGTATTCAACGCTATATATCCAGTGTATGCACGTAAAATATTTGAAAATCCCGAGATTTTACATACGAAACGAAGAAAAAGTATCCACTTTACATTTGTTCGCGAACACATTTCGTCAAAGTAACAGTATGTGACAACGTTGGTCAAACATTTGTACGACCAAGGACAGGTATGCTTCGATCGCGAATCTTAAAATAAAACGGGGAAAATGTCGTAAGAAAATAACCTCTGCTTAATTAACATGCGGTTGATAGTATGGTGTTATGTAATAACTTCAACCTCTAGCCTTAAAAAAGGGTTCGCGTTCAATATTAACACTTCGTAAATAAAATTCAACCTATTAAACATACACCTGCATTTTAAAAGTTATCGCGAAACTTTTCTGCTGTTTCTGTTTCATTTTCGTACATTTGACGTCAAGCCAGATATACTTGAAATGTTATGCATATATGTGTGTATTACGTCTCAATAGGTTCGTCATGATTCACGTTTCTTCGAAACGCAGAAATGGAAAGACGTAGTAACCGCAATTATAAAAAATAATTACGCTCCGTTTTTTCAAAATCACAAACTACAAATTACGTTACTTTAACGATTACCTCGTCTCAGAATTTTAATTAAATGTCCTTTTTCAAACTACTGAATCTGAATAATAAAAAATTAAGTAGCTAAATCTACGGAATGAATTTATCAGCTGCACAGTCCCTAATGGGGTAAAATTACCCCTTTTTGCGTTGCGGAGTTGTCTCTCGCGCGACGTAGTATCGCGTCCCGCCTTCGGGATCGTTTACAACAATCTAAACGACAATAGTAAATAGCTTCATTTGCAATTACAAACGCGCCACTTAACGCGCTATAAATTACAAAATGGCGTTCGCGTCGACAGAATTATAGGAATCGTTCTTTCTCGTGAAAGTCGGGATAAGAAAACTTTCTTTTCTCATCTCTCCGTCCAATCCCGGATGGCCGTATTCCGGAAGTTGCCGCAAAGAGGACAGCCAGAATTGGTGGCTATTTAATTAGCGTCTCCTCGAAAAGGCGACGAGTTCCCGCTATTCCTCTCTCCCATTCTATTCTCTTCATCTTACTCGTTTTCGTTCCTTTACACTACCTCGCGGAGAGGAAACTGTAACGCGAGTTGCGATTCGTCGTCGGGACGAATAATAACGCGAACCGGGCTCGATAATTAGTTCTCAATGATAAGGATCAATAGAGTTTTGTTAAATGTAGAACTCAAAGAAGATACGAAGAAATGATATTAGCGAGCGAGTTTAACGATTCTGAAAGCCGCGGATAATCTTATTTATGAATTTGATCGCCTCTCAGAAGCGGAAGCATGGTGAAAACCGTCTTTGTTTTACTCCCGTTCACGAAGATTTTGCTGCACGATGTAGAGTCGATATTATTCATTGAATTTTACGAGCTACAAGTTGCACGACAGAATCAAATTGGATAACAAATCTATAAAAGCATGCTTTGCAAAAGCAAATTATAAAATTACGAATAGACAGGTGCGCGTAAAAGTCGTCATGCATAGCTGAGCGGCATCGCGAACATTTGGAAAAATTCAATTTCGCCTGGACATTCGAAATTTATTCTCTTTCGAAGTTTTTCGTGACCAGTTGTCTTGTTCGGAACTCTGGTAATTCGTCTATATTTTTCGAAGATAAAAAAACAATTCGCGACAAAAATTATTAATTCTGCCGAAATTTTACAAACTATCTTATTAATATTACTATCTTATTAATATTATTATATTAATTTTTACTGATATTATCGTTTGATAAGTTATGCGTGCTAACTCCATTTAAATGAGGATGTAGATTAATGAAAACCTATTAATGGTCTATACGATGCTTTCGTCATTTCAGCAAATCAACTGTACAAAGTTAACTTGAAAATGGCCAGCAGAAATTCGGAACCGTAGCTCCGTTGGCCGGTCGTTTATTTCTTAAATTAATCCCGGCTTAATCCGGATTTTCTTCGCGATATCGATCGTCCGTTTGCAATCGTGTGTCGCTCGTCGCATGTCGCACGGTTCGCCGAATAAATCGTTCCTCGTTCACGTCGCTGATAAATATGTATCGTAAATCCATACGAGGAAAAAGCGAGAAAGAGGAAGAAGAAGAGAAAAAAAAGAGGCAGAGAGAATTCTATATGGTGCACCGGGCCAGTCGGTATATTTCGTTGTATGAGATCACGTTGTTTTATAAAGTATAATTTCATTGCATACACCGGGAGAACGCGCTCGCCTGTACACAATGTACGCCGTTATGTCACACACGCGATCGTTTTAACTTTCAAACGCGATCCTAATATCCAGACATCGGGGGACAATCGATAACCGTCTCGCCGCTTTCGACTCCATTAATTGCTCGTAAATGTTGGAAATTGATTTTTTAAAACTCTGCCCCTCTACGCCTATGTGCGTATACGCACATGTGTGCATGTTTAACCTATCCACATACATGTACAAGCGCTTACGACGATATATATTTATATATAGAAAAATGCGAACTTTAATAAAGGTTCGATCGTAAAACTTTTTACAATTATGAGAAAACACGGGAATGCGACCAGTTATGAGTGGAATTCGAGTTACGAACGCATTTTAAGCAGCTTCGCGAGAGTAGAATGCCCGAGGTCGAAAAATAAAGGAGACAAACACGTGAAATGCTCCTCCCTTCGATAGATCGATATAGGTATGGGTCACGTGATTGCTTTTGACGTAGACATTTTGAAACGTGACGTCCTGTAACGGTCCTGCACGACGGATTATCGTGGACCTGTCGTAGTGACAGCAAAATGCGCAGAATTTTCGAAAAATGCTTTCGAACGTCATATATATCGTTTTGATTCGTTCGGTGACAATTTGTGGTCGATGGATATATTATTTGAAATGTATATAACGTGAAAGAGTTCCTACACTCACCACTCTCGTTGTCGTTCGCCGATAGTGCTCTCAACTTTGACTCAAACGCGCGCTGGATAGTGGAAGTCACCGGTTTTCCATTTGGACAAGTAAAACTTCGAGTTTATCTTCAATCTGGCACAGTTTAAAGTATTTTCACGACACATCGACGTTTCGTTTGTCCCGCTTAATCGGAGCGCGGGATTTTACGCGACGCGAACCGAGGGAAAACTGAAACAGTGCTGCCACCTGCAAGCGAATTGATGAAGTTCCTGATGGAGAAGAGGCGGGACAATTTGAAAAGCAAGTACTATTATCATATATACAAATATTTTTAAGCACAATTGAATCTTATTGTAACTGTTATAGAAATTTCAAAATGTTTCGAAGAACTCACATAACCTATTCGTAAAAGGTTTTTACACGTACTCCATTACTTTCTTGTGCTGCTGTACGTATACACAAAAATTAATTATTAAAATTAATCGAGATACTAATAAGAAATAATTGAATGAACAGTTGCACGTAAAACTTACACCGGATGAATCAAATGTCCGTACGATGACTATAAAATTAGATTTTATTAATTCTTTTTTTTTTTTACAAGAACACGAGTTTTCATGACGTATCTGTAATATGTATAAAAATTAATTTACATGTTCGTTAGAGAGAAACAATGAGAAAGGGGATATTAAGCTCGAGTTATAGTTTATTCCACCGGTAACAGGAATCGTGGGGAACTTTCTTTGCGTAAGCGTCGTTATAACTTCGGAATAACAACAAAGACGAAAGAGAAGGAAGGAAGGAAGATATTAGGAAAAGATATTACAAAAATTAACAAATATATAGGCTTCGCCGCTGAAAACTTTCCCCGCTGGAAAAAATTCAACGTTTTCGAGCTTCTCGCGTACGAAAATAACTAGAATCGTGCAACTAATCCTGACAGAGTAACACGTAGCACCTAAAGTTCAGGAACCACCGCAACTGTAAAATTTAATGATTTTGAAATCTCTCTTTCTCTCTCTGAACCTCGACGAACTTAACATAATTACTAAAATAATGGTGTTTTTCGGCAAAATTCGAAAAACAGTTACATTTCGTCTATAAGTTAATACTTGTTATAATATTATTATTACAATATTCTTAAAGATACTCGATTATCAAATGAATAAGAGATTATTCCGCCTCGTGTGACAATTTTGCAGTTGTGGTGGTTCGCAAAAAGGAAAAAAGAAATGCTTTATATATACCATTGTTAGAATACGAAGAAGACTTGAGAACAAAGCACGCGCATTTTTGGAAACCAACCATTCGTCGCCGATTTTATTTTCATCGATCCTTCATCTCGGTAATGACCATCGATTCTGCTCGTTTCTATCGATTGATCAATGAGGATCAATGAATCGTGTGCATTATTTATATACACAAAAGCACCTCGCGTTCGATCGAAGTCTCGTTTCATTCTGCTCGAACAGCTCGAACACGTGAAAATGAAACGCGATTCTCAAGATAATTGAATTAAAACGGACCGAGATAATTGGGATTAATGCTTCCGGTCGAGGCGAGAAAGTTTGATTAATTCAGTCGGTACCCGACAGCCGATATCCAGATATCTGGTTAACTTATAATTGCGAACTTTCGGAACGGAAATACAGACGACAGGGTAATCGTCGGGTAAAAAACCTTTCTTACTCGATGATTAGATTTGACATAAACGAGCAAATTACATTACTTCTTCGAGCTCCGTCGCTGTAACCTTTGCTTGTAGCGAATTTTCAATTTGCATTCACTAAAATTAAAACTTCACTGAATTTTAAAGACGACAAGAAATCACTCGTCTGCATTGAGTCAGGCCCTGACTTCAAACACATCTCATGTAAGATAGTCGTTACTATAAACTATAAAATAGAACGTGGAGGTAGCGCGTCAGATCGGAATCGTTCTCGCATTCGGTGATATTTTTCAAAGTTTCTCACACCACAGTCTCAAGAACCAATTGTACTTTCCCTTTCGTCTCCCTGGCTACCATCGTGGACACTATCCTCTATAATCGTCATCCTGACAAACTCTTTAGTTAACTCTTTTAGTCGATCGTCTACTGGCAAGTAAAGATAGATAGTTCTTGCACTCGAACCTCCTCATGTTCGTAGTGAATTCGTAGAAAAGCACACAATGGTAAGAGAACTTGCAGCACCTTTAGTCTAGTTTCATCACGTATGCCGATTCTTACACGCGATATATTTCTTCGTGTCCATGTATCGAATCGATCCAGCGAAATCGTTATATCTCTGTATGTGTATACAAAGTCAACGTTGCTAATTCCTCTTGCTGGAGTTAATCAGATACTTGCAGCAATGCGTGAGCAAGTGCTTTTCACCGGTGATGTCATGCGGCACGTTTGTAGGACCTGTCGATTCCCTGGTGTAAATATCTAAGCCATACTGGCCCTCCTCGGGAAAGCTAATCGAGAAAGTCACTACGTCATCGTCGGCGATCGAATGCGTGACGTATTTGGACAGCCGTTTTTCTTCGATTCCATTTTTGTGCAACGTCGCCATGAAGTCGGTCAGTGGTCTGGACATTCGAAATTGGATTTCCAATTCGCGACCGGCGAACACCAGAGCCTCCTGACGTGTTATAGAAAGAAAGAGAAAGATACAAAGATTGTTAGAACAAATTTTTCAAACTCCTGAATTTCAACTTTAAACAACAAACGAATGCATGTCATCGTACCTGATGAGTTATTGGTATAATACCAAACAGTCTCGTGGCTTTTGTCGGGCCCCATTCGCCACTCGCGCAGTCTGGCAATGGTACCATCACGGTTTGCAATTCCTCGCATGCGATTTTGAATTTGCACACACTCTTGAACTTCATAGGCTCACCGGTTAAGTATTCCTTCGGCGTCACAGCGTTAGCAAAAATGTCCAGGAGGAAAGCCCCTGAACACGGTGCGTGCACGCGAAACGCGACGATATTCCCAACAACGCTCTACAAACGTAAGTTTCAAGACGAAATCTTAACAACGTCCCAACGATCAAAATTCCTCGAGCAATTTTACTGTCAGTCTTAAGTTAAATACGTCCGTGGGGAACATTACACAAATGCAAATGCTCGTTCCAAAACAACGTTAAAATTTGGTTAGTCACGCGAACTGTGTTCGAACAGCTCGTTAAGGCTACATTGAAAATCAATATTGGAAAATGTTAATATCGTCGTAAACACAAGAAATATCGACGTTTGAACGGCCCTAACCTCGCCGGTCCTTTGCAAATTTCTGTCGGTCAATTAATTTCACTTGGCGAGCAATTAATTAGCAGGCGACTCTTTAACTCTCATTAAGAGTTTCCTCCTTTAATTGAGCTTCCTTAATTTGGTTTATACGAACTGCTCTGGCGAACAATTAGCCCGTGAAACCGTGAAAAAAAAAATTTCGCTCCCCGTATCCGTATCCTAAGTGTCTCAACTTACCTGCATGACGAATCGTTTCAACGAGACACCGTCGTACCCGTCGCCGTCGTTATCGTAGAATTTGAGATTATAGTGAAAGATGAGGGCTGACTGCATGTGAGCTGGCATGGCTATCCTGACGGTCGCGGCACCCGTAGAATCCGTGTACATAACGGCATTCGTGTTCGTATCCGGAAAGTAGAGGCCGTACCTGCCGAATTTACATAAAACGTGCGTGACATCGTTTTTTTCTTCGTAAGCATGGTCGGCCGTGTGTAACACCATATGGGACGTTCGCTCGTTGAATTTTTCGATGTCTCACAAATTTTACTTTATTTAGCATTTTATCGTACAGCCGCTAATTATTAATTTCGAATTCATTCGAGCGAACGATCGTGTTACCTGAAGAACAACGAGCGCACGAAAGGCAATTCTTCGAAATCTTTGAGCGAAATCGGTTGTTTGAGCAATTGCCATTCCTCCTGAAGGGGAAAGAACTCGTAGATGAACTCTCGCGGATCCGTGAGGAAGTAGTGATCGTCGTATTCGTATCTGCAACGGCGAGACAGTTAAATAGGTCGAACAATTGACGATGATGGTGTATCAGAAAAGAAGCAAACGATTTCACAAAATACCTGAGGCTGTCGTTCTTGGCTTTTGGCTGACCAGGACGAGGAAATTCTTTGGCATTGACCAGATGTCGCGCCCCCCAATTGCACTGGACGAATCTCCACGCGCCAGCAACGTAGACTGCGTTCCAACTATTCCGGAATCGATTGTCCTCGAAGCAAACGCCTGGCTGATAACCAGCCGATTTGCTGTAACCCTTTATCACTACGCAGTGCAATCCCGCGTAACTGTAAGGAAACGTAACAGGATGAATCACGATTCAAGCGTTCCATTCGTCCAATTTTGAAACGTGGGCCTCGTTTCACGGGATAAATTATTATTTTGGGCGTGTCGTGGGAACGATCGAAGTCACTGAGATGTTAAATTAACTACGTTTACCTGCATAGCCGTTTAAACAGAACGTGGTAACTTTCAGTCCCGTGTTTTATGCCTCTGAGCAAGCCCATAGGCGTGTCCCCGCACAGATTCTCGTCGAACTGCATGGTGTTTAGATTCTTCACGGTGATCCATCGGAATATCGTCCTAGCTTTCTCTATATCCGATCCGCATCTGCTCACCAACTGTCGCACCAAATCTGTGAACGTTTTCTGATCTTCTTGGGCTACCTGATTTATTAAAGGGACAGAAAAAAAAAAGGAACAACGTAAACCAACCATCGTGGAAATTTTTTAACCATCTCCGACTCAATATTTTCTTTTTTTTTTTCTTCATCACCAAAAAGATTAATTACGCCTACATCACTGCCAAAAAAAAAATATATATATATATATATATAAACTTCTATAAATATTCAAACGTTGTTCGAAAATTTCGAACACGACCTCCTCTTTTATTCCGCTAATGGTATCAACGCATCATAACGAATAGCTTCGACACGACACCGACGTCACAGGCCATAGACGACCACCCCGTCCTCTCGCTATCCTTCGAATGAAAGAAAGATCGTAAATCGATTACGCCAAGTCTTCGCGTATAGACGCGTAAGAGCCGGATAAAAGCGAGGCTGTCGCGCGAATATATGAAAATACCGCCCAACGATTCGAAGCCGGGCCGTTTAAAATTCCGCGGGTGTAACGCACCCCCTTTCGACTCTTCTCCGTTGTTACATTTACAAGGGGATAGAGGTGTTAAAAGGGGGCTGACAGTACGACGGAGGCTTACCGAAATAGCTATCTGATCCATGTCAGCAAACTCCAGAGGATCATTGTAGATGTGATACTTGGCGAGAGCAGGGGGCTGCGGGGGTGGAGCACGCGACGGATAAGGTAAAGGCGGTGCTTCCTGGGCATAACCATCCCCTTCGTCGAGATACAGACTCTCCTGCCGCATATACTCGCTTCTCGCTTCATTGATCAGCTCCAGCATCTCCGAGCTCTGTTTCTCCACCAACGCTGCGGTCGCCGCTCTGGAAATTGATCAAGAGTTACGAGAATTCGCGGCTCGCCATTGAACCACGATGCGCCGGCTTTCGAAATTCGCCACGCAAGGCTGCGACCATCGTTCTCGTTTCATCGATATTTTCTTTCCATTTTCCTCGAAATTTATGAATCGGCAAGTGAAGCGATCGCGTTTCGTTTCGTTTCGTTTCGTTTCTGTTTCTGTGAGAAACGAGTACTCTTCAAAGAAACGCAAGATTATACAGAGAACGTGTATACAATCACTGTAGCCCACTTTCTACAAAACGAATCGCATTTAAATCGCGTAGAAAAATTCTGACTAGAACAGACAGAACTTTGTTGCATTAGTTTCAGAGACTAGGTTTGTGGATGATAATGGATAGTGAACCTAGGAAACGTAAACAATCGTCAAATCAAAGGGTTAATTAAGGCAGATTAGCTGCGACAAGAGCATTCTGCCCCTCTTTCGCGGATCTTACGACGCACGTAATCAGAGCAGCGTGACGTAAAATCAGTCTAATTAGGTATGTAATAAGTACCGTTCGTGCTCCAGCATTTTACGCGTGAGACTTTCCTTCTTCTTGTCCCTACGAAGTGTCATGTTCTTCTCCAAGTCCTCTTTCTCTTGCTGAAATTGCTGGGCTCGGGCTCTTCCGCCTTTTTCGCGTTCCCATCTAGCCGATAATTCCTCCAGTTCCTTCTCCCATTCGTCCTACTCAATTAAGAAACATGATCTTTTAATCACGAAGTTTCTGCGATGTTAATCTAGATATTACCGATTTATATCTTTCCTACTCTTTTTTTTTTTTTTTTTTTGAATGAATATTAAAAACTAGTAAGTTTTAATTATAATATTTAATTATTAATTATAACTAATATTTAATTAAACAACTCTTATTACTAGTATTACTCTTAATTAATCGAACACAATCGTAAGATATTGGTTCCGAAGGAATATTCCAACTTTAATTTTATAAAATCGTTCCCACACTCTTCAATCTCAATTACAAAATTTTGTTCCATTTCATTCTCACGATTGAGTTGTTCAGCCGTAACAGAAAGAGCCCATACGTACTCTAAATTCCTCTCGAATCCGTCTGTCCTCCTCCTCGCGATGGTGGGCGAATTTCCGATAGAGGTCATCCTCCTCCTTGCGATGTTTCATCTCGAGCCGCGTCTGTTCATCTCGGTCCTGCGATAATTGCAACAAAAAGAAAAAGAAAAACGAGAATCATCGAGGGCCTTTCTCTTAATTGTGACGAGGGAAAGAGGGCCGCCATGTTTTGCTCTGGCATGCGTTGCTCGTCCGGCGCGCGGGAAATTTAAAGAAACTCGTCGGATCGGTTTCGGGAATCGCGTTCTCGAACGAGTTTCGCCGGCTGGCAATTAAGCCGAGGCAATTTTTCCTCGTCTATCGAAAAGCGAAGGCCGCGTCTAAACGTCCCGTGGCAGGTGACGGTCGTCCAGTTTTTTGCTAAGTTTACTTTCACGCCGCCTCTCTGCTTTCCTTCTGGGCTGGAATCGCGCCGGAAACGAGACGCGCGCTCCAGAATCGCGTTCGCGGCAAATTGAAGCGTTCGCAGAGAAAGAGAAACGCGAGCAGGCGTGCACGAACGTTTCACGTTCCCACGAACGAACAAGGATCGTGAATCTGTTCTGCCGAGACGAAACCGATCGGCTTTGGGCACGGGCGTAGTAGACGAAAAAGGATTTTCTCGGATTTGGTATAGCGTTGCGCAAGCGATTTCCTACGCGCGAGTCGGTCGCGCGTACGAACCCCACGATGCCCACGCTACAGTTACGTCACTTACGGCAGCGCAAATAATTATTGCGCGAAATAACCGCGGATAAGGACAACGTTGGAGAGCATTAACGTTTCTCAACGTGTTCCCTCGGCTTAGGATTTCGAAACGGAGCTATCTGAACAACTCAGAGACACGCATTCTTTTGGAAACATTGGAATCTGCCGATAGAATTTTTCTTCTGAATATTTGCAACGAGCGAACTTGAGTTATTTGCGCGAAGAAACTGGAAGACGGAGGATACAATAATAAGATTCTATCTCTATAGTTGGCTCGCTCTGTACAGTAAGGAATGTTGCGGTTACGCTTGCTAAAATTGCCTTTGACAAGGCTCCCTCTTTCTCGTGGCGACAGATGCAATTAGCCTTTTTCTAGGAGAAAAAAAAAAGGAAAAGAAAAGAGACAAGAACCTCTCGTAACAACCGAGGGATTACTATTTTGAAATCGATGGTCATCGTGTACGTTGTTTGTTTTGTCACGTCGCTCGCGCTCGAGCGCATGTTCTAAGCCTACTCCTTTCATTATCAAGTTATCAGTACTCTTCAATCATCAGTGAAATAAAAAAAATCTCCTAACAGGGCAAATCTGATCGATCTGTTTGCCAGCGTCGTTAAAGAAGTAATTCTCGTCTTCGTGCTTGTTTGCGTGACTGGTTAAACAAGATTTCGTCACGATAGAACCGTCCAACTTCCGTTTGCTCGTCCCACGAACGAACAGGTGTGTTTCATTTGCGGTTGCGTATCTGCTAAATGTCGGTTTTGCTAGAAATTGTCACGTCCTAAGAAACTGATTCTCCGCGCGTGTCGATAAAGAGCGACACAGGTAAAAAGGGTGTACCACCTGTCCAATTTCAAGCAAATCGTCTCGTCCCCTTGCTCGTGATTAAACTCAAAATTTCGCAGGGTCATCAACGAGAAGATAACCAATCTTTCTTAGTCCCACGTAATGACTTTTCGTGTGAGAAGAAAAAGAATTTCGTATAAAAATAAGTATCATTATTTTATAAAATAAAATATCATATAAATATCATTGTTTTCGTATAAAATAAAAATCGCTACTTCGCTATTTCGCTAAGATTGAACATTTTTGAAAATTGAAAATTCTCGAATTTCGAAAATTCAGTGTTCCTCTGGAATGGATAGGAAAGGAATTGAAGAAATAGTCACGTCGCGTATAATCTAATTGCAACGAACGCAAGATCACTCCGCTCGCTCGAACCTGCTGACTAATCTGCCAGCCTGGCCGAAAAAGGAGCGGAAAGAAAGTAAGAATAAAATCGATGGACCGTGGTGCCCAGGCATCGACCGCAACAGCGATTCCAATTAACATCCGTGGGTCGCTTGTTGGCGAAGGCGCGTGAGAGGTGAGCCACAATCGCTCTTTAAAACACGGATACGCACACGGTGGCCCCTCCACGCCCCTCGTTTGTTCCATCGCCCCTTGTGCACGACTTATTACGCGGCCGTGGAACGATTCTCTAATTAACCGTCAGCCGTGGTGCGCGGAGTACCGCAAGCGGAAACGATCTGGATCCGTGCGCGATCTTTCCTTCGCGTGCGCACGCTGTCACGATGAGAAGACACCAGATGGGAGAGAGGGGAGCGACGCGTTCTTCCGCGGCAACGGTTCGGCTGATGTTCACGAGGACATGATGTTCGTCGTTATTGTTCTTCGTTGATGCCCCGGAAGCAGGTGAAGAAAGTTGAACCGCGTCGCGTGAATAGGAGATTGAACGACGAAAAAAATTGGATGCAGTCGTCAGATACAATCAGTTCGTCAAGTTTGGAAACAATAGCGTACACGACTAGCTACGCGATGACTTTTAACGTTTCATACGTAATATCTTTGAATATTCTTAAACTTTTTCTCCGCCAAACGCTTCGACCGCCGATGGAAAAAGCTGATTTTTGCGATCGTTCAGGCTTCACGGTGTCGGGTGCAACAGCAGTAGCGGTTTCTTACGATCGGGCGATCAACGTTGGAAATTGTTCGCTCGAACGCATCATGGCTCCACGAATCGTAGAAATCGAAGATGGTTTTCTATGGTAGAAAGTTTACGAGTGGCCGTGCCGTCCGTGATTGAGAAACAACAAAGTGGGCAAAGCGAATCACGTCATCATCCTTCCGAAGAGTGGAGAGTACGGATTCGTTTTAGCGTGCGGGTTAACGGTTTCGTCGAACGCGCCACTGGTTATCATCGATTGCGATAAAATAGAGATCCGTCCTGTATATATCGAACTGTCGGAGAGATTCTCGCGGTCTTGAACCTGCAGCCTGGAATATTGATATCGAGATAAAAAAAAAAAAAAAGAAACAGTTGAATTTTATGGATTTATTGGAGCGAGACGAATTTTTACATATAGATACTGGCGAATAACTCTTGAATAAAAGGATGTATCGAATATGAATTTGATAATTTAATGAAAAAAATAGTACGAATAAACAAATTGAACAGGTTTTAACGTTTCTAGATCTGTTATATCTACTTAGATAATTGTAATTACTGTAATAAGTATTGCCGTCTTTCGAAATGAAGTAAAAATTAGATGTAGACAAAAAAGCTGCCAAACTTCCAAAATGTTCCAATAAACACGCTCGACGAAACGAATTAAATAAAATGTATATCTTCGTAATTGTAATTGCTGTAACAAGTAGTGGTCTTCCTATCATCACGAATGATTCTTCACATAAAATTAGCTATAGATAAAACAAAAAGCTGCCTTCAAACTTCCAAATTCCGTTCCAAACTTGCCAATAAATACAAAATGTTCCCCGATCAATGAAAATGCATTAATTGATCGGAACTCTTCGTCCGTGTTTTTTAATTGCACGTCAACGCAGAAAGGAGACAAAGGGAAACGAGGCGCGGATACGGTGCACGACCCTGCCCGATTGCCCACGCTACTTTCGTTTCGTAAGAGCGCGCACGCAGGTAGGCTGACATTCACGAAATACTATAAATAACGTCGGTGGCCGGCGGGAGGCGGCCGATTTTGCCTGGATGCGCACGCGAAAGCGGATTGAGAGAAAACGCGGCGATAGTGGAGCGACTAGCGGCTCGGCCTTCTTCTTCTCCTACGGCGGCACCGATGGGAAAAGCGAGCCAGGCAATCTCATTTTCATGTAGGGCCAGTCTTCATCGGCCGCGGTGAACACATTCCTCGCTTGTCAAGCGATTCGCGCACGAAAGTCACGGCTGCTGGCACGGAATCCAGTCCGCCAGGTAACTTGGCCCGCATTCCACGCCGATCGGAAATTCGGGCTTCCGACCATTTTCCATTCAAACGCGTCTACCTTGTACGCGTCTGCTGACGTATGCCTCTCGCTTCGACTAATCAACCGACCCCGGGCCACATGTATTCCGCCGTATTCCTCCAGTATTTCTACGCGTCGTTGAACACAGACGAAATATCTAACTTCAGGTGCAGCTCTGGAAAAGCGGACGTCGCGCCATGTTACTCCCCCTCCGGGGAGTTTAATTGATTAATACTCGCGAAGCATGTTTCAATTACAATTAACGTTGACTTTTGACGTATCAAAAGTTTGAAGATTATACTCGAGTCAGCTTTTGTTGACAAAAACACTTTCTAGTAATTATTTACGAATATTCGGAGGAAGTTGTTTTTCAAAACTGTCGTTAATTAAGCTTGCGATTCACCTATCGTACGTGCGAGCCTTGATATTTGGCAATGGTTTGGGCAATTTTCTTAATTTAGACAATGACCGTTATGAATCCAAGCTACGACTTACTTTCGTTGTTTGTTGATTTTTCATGTAATTAAACCAAGTATGAAATTTTCATGTTACGTGAGTGAAAGATAAACCGGTTGGATCTCGTTTCTTCAGTTACTTTTGTAAAAATATAAGGGAATAATTGCGTTCGCGAGCGCAACTCGTCGACGCTCGTACGTTATTCCCCGAAGGAAGATTTGCTAAGGATATAATTAACAAGATAGGTTAATTAGACAAAGCTGAAACGTTCGTGACCCAATTGGCGGAAGGTAATGTTCCCTAAGTAATCTAGAAAACCGTGAAATCCGAAATCTGATTTTCCGTACTTTAATGAGAGAGCTCTCATAACCAGGTCATCGTTAAAAAACGTGTATTATTCAAGACACGTATAATTAACGCAATCCATGGCAATTATGTCGAGATGTTTCCAGAAGAAACATTCCTGTCGAGTGTCCTCGTATTTAGCTTTAAACACACGCTTTACCTCTTTTATCTACGACTCGATCTAAAACTCGAATCTACAGACGAGATATACGTTGCATCCTCTGACGATACGAGGCGCTCGATCTTCCAAAACGCGAGTAGAATCACTATTTTCGATCGATGCTGCGTACTCCCGTTCATAAGTCACCGGACACCTGCTTATTTTGAGCTGAATAGTTACTAGAACACAGATATACTTTTCTGGATTAATTTAATTGTACAATTTTGCTACATGTACTTATTTTACGATAATACTTGAAAACAAAACTGATATTTTACGTATATAGTCTTTCAAAGAATGTTAAAAATATATATATATATATTTAAAAAATCCAATCGAAGAATTATGAAATGAATTGGACAGAAGACTTTGAAAAACGCGTCGAAAAATCGAAGATAGACTTATGGAAAAAATTAGAAGAAGCGTGGAAAGAGAGTTCATTTTTTTCGAAATATTGACAAAATTAATCGAAAGAATGCCGCAGTTAGTTCAGGCCGTCATATATGCACGAGGCGGATATATCGGCGAAACAAAGATATAAGACACATTATATACTTCTTGGTAAGATGTTTGACAAATAAACTGTATGACATATGTATTCTAAATATTATACGTATGTAACGAGTATAGGACATTTCATCGAATACAATTGCCCGTATCTCAATTTGTCGTAGCGTCCGGTGACTTATGGAAGACAGTGTATGCACAATCGAAGCTCGATCGATCGAGAACTTTGGTATGAACGTTTCGTCGAAACGCTGATACTGTTTCATCGAAACGACGATCGCAGATCGGGCGTTGGAATAGAGGTGACCCGCTCCTAATATGGCGGTGACCGTGACGAATGATTTCACCGGACTATGCGAATGACTCACCAGATAATAATCGATGGGCTTCTCGCGTGCCTTGCTGTAGCCCTTCTGAAGCTCCGTCTGCTTAAGGGCATGGGCGATGTGAAGCGCGCTCGCGTCGAACCTTCCATACTGGTAGCTTCCGTCCCCGGAATAATTGTGGTTGTACGGCGAGGACGCGCCTCCACTGGCGTTCCCGTGAAGATCGCGTTGGGACGAATTCGTAGCCGGCGGTGAACCGTGTCCGTTCAGGTGCCTGGCACAATTAGGCGAGTCTACATTATCGTAACTGCAACAAAATTATGCAACGGGTCTTCAGGGGGGGTAGGGTGTTTGTCGTTGTCGTTCTTGTTGCGCTTTTCACACGGATCGCTACGTTTCACTTTCCCGAAAAGAAACATAAACGACGAGCACGAACGAATTTGATTAGGTTATGACATTTGACGCCGTTACACGACATTCGGTTTTCGTCTTGATCCAACTGCAATGGAAATTGTCGATAAAAATGTATAAAATCCCTTTCCTCCGTACGTTCGAAATAACAATATCAAAAAAAAAAAGAAAAAAAAAAAGAAAAAAGGAAACAAAAATACGACGATTGCAAAACTCGATCATACAACCATTCCGCAACGATTTTTCCTTCGTGTATTCGAAACAAACAAGCCAAAAGGACGTGACGAGTGCAGAATTCGATCGTACTGGTTTTCGACGTGATTTCCCTTCACGCGTTTCAAACGAAAAATCTCTCGAAAAAATACGACGAGTGGAAAAAAACCTCCGATCGTTTCGTTTTTCAACGTCGAGTCGAAACGAGAAATAATTCGAGCGTGCTGTTGTTTTTTGACGTGATCGTTTCTCGCGTGATCGAAACGAAAAAATCGGGGGAGAAGTAAAGAAAATACATCGAACCGAAATCGGCTTCGAACTTCATTTAACCACGACCAACAGTAAAAAAAAAAAAAAAAAAAAGATTCCTGGTAACCGTGATCCTGGCTCGTTCAACATTTGCCGCGGCTTCCGGCATTTAGCATGCAAATTCAACGATCGCGCGCCTCGCAGGAACTGGGTCAGCCTTTTTAACGGGGCCTTGGAAACATTTCCCTGCATGCAACAAACACTCTGTCTGTTCATCGACGTCTGTTCATCACGAACGATTCAACCAACGAGCATCCTAGAACTAATTACGGACGGAGTCTGATTCATTGGCTTTGTAAAAATCCTGACACGCGGCGCTCGCTCGTCTCGTCCACCGAACACCGCAACGCTTATGAGAAACCGGAGAGTCTCTGGTTAAATGAATGTGTTACACCTTCTCTCCCTCGTTCTCTCCTCTCCTCTCCGCGGGGTTCATTCACTTGCGGCTGAAGCCACTGCTTCTTCTTCTTCTTCTTCTTCTTCTTCTTCTTTCTCTTTTCCTTCTTCATCTTCTCTCTGTCTCTGCCTGCGTCTAGAGATTCTGTCTCTGTCGAGCGCACGAGCGCGCTCCTTATGTCAGCCGGAGGCAGAGAACTCGCGAAACGCAGCCACAAGAAATTCTTATACACCGTACACACGCGTAACTCGTGCGTGCGTGCGTGCGTACTTTTTGTTGTTCGACGGTGAAATCGACGTACGTAAATATTAGGACGATCGCGAGCTCGCTATCCATTCTTTCTTTTCAATTCTATCCATAGAAAAAGAAAAACGACACATCTGCAATCTAAATTACAGTTGAATACGAAATGATAGATTTATAAAACGAAGATAACTAAAGGAAATGAAACCCAAGAGAGGAACATTCAATGATCATCCAATGGCTGGCGGTATAAGTCGATACCTCGAGTATTTCCAGAGGAGAGAGATGCACTCGATACTCGAGAGGGGGGCCAGACGATTAAATTCAGGCATTCTCACGACCCATCGGCCTTTGCGTAATGTTTCTATACGAGTACGTTTGGCGATACGTTTTGCTGGTTCTTTTGGAACCTCGAGGTTGGAACTTCCTGAACGCGCACCGCAACAGGTCTTTCTCTGATCGATTTTATAGCCTGCAGTATAAGGTGTAATCAGGATAAGAACTGGTTAATACGGGTTTTCGCGTGATTTAGGCACAGCACGCTCCTTCTTGCAATTAAACGGAATTGAATGGGTTTTACCGTTTTACGCTTATTTGCGAGGCACGCCGTCCGTATGCGGTGTAAAATCTTGCTGATTCTGATCTACCTCTAACGAGAACTGTATTTCGCCTTCAATTACTACTCCTTCTTGATTAACCCAGATTAAAATCGATCGGTTTAGCTGGACGGTTTTAGCCGCGTTTAAATTCGGCTTGAGTCGATCGTCTCGATGTTACTTGCATTGCAATTAAAAAAGAAAAAAAAAAAAGAATTTTCTGAATTCTTCTCCATCATATCTTTCATTAACCCGACATTAATTACTCCCCTTTCTTTTCAATTGTTGCTCTTTCCCGAACTCATCTCCAAATAATAAATAATAAATATATATGTAATATTTATACATTGTATAAATCTCTATTGAAAGGGACAAGACTTTTGCGTGCTTAGCCGTTCATACTTAAAGTTAGTTTCGAAACACGCGTTTAATTATCCAATCCACAGTCTAACCACACACACGGCCAGATATTTCACTTGTTTTCTTCCCCGGATCGAAAGACGAATCGTCCGGCCGATCGCGTCCGCGCGAATCTCTCGGAGGCGAGCTTGTTATTTCAAGGAAATCAGGTCAGCCATTGACATTCCGGCCTTCCGGAGAGCAAGTATGTATGCCTCGCGCGTGTACACAATCGCGGTTTCATACTTTGTTCAAGACAACCCGGTCGGGATTAAGGCCAATGTGGCGGCGCGTTATGTAACGAAGATGAACCAGATGCCTTGGCTGACACGTATGCACACAGGACTTTGATTCGACTGCCAGCCAAACTCTCCGCTCGTGGTGGATTGTAATTGTCACCAGACGTCCGTGAAAAGAGTTTTTCAGCAGCCGGATTTGTAGAACGGTGTCCAAGTTACGCGACTCGATTCCCTAATATTCGCCCTTGTAAACGTCGATTCTCGAGAGATCGAATTCCCGAAACCTCGTAATTGTTTCCCAATGAATTCTAAAATAGATACTCTTCATACTTCGAGATCAATCATCTCAATCGTTTGACATTCTCTGCTCGTGAAACGCGTTACGAAGAGTATGATGATCGCGAACTTGCTGGTTTAATTTAATAGCCGTAAATTTTATCTTAAAATTTGTCATTGTATTTGGAGATTCGATGAAAGCCGGTAGAAGATAAATCGAATCGGCAATGAAACGTTGATTGTCTTCAAGGTTGAGGTTAACAAACTGGGCACAAAAGGTCGCGCGACCATTTACACTCCGCTTAAACAGCGATCTCGATTTAACACCGAAGGGAAAGTGGTGAAACCGAACGTGAGGCGAGTCGATCGACTTTCCGGCCATTAAAACACAGAAAACGTAAAGGAGAGCCGTGCACGTTAATTTTCTGCCGCTGTTATTGCCCTCGGTTGTAATTCGCTTAACGGCCGCGTCGATTGTACGATTGCTAAAAAAAGAAAAGCAAGAATGAATAACACGAACCGTGACAGACAACGATTGAATCTTAACGAGCCTTAACGCGACTTTATCGAGACGAGTATCTTCCTTAGTTCAGTTGTGCGATATTCTTAACAACCAATTTTATAACACGCGTCGTACGTAGGATTTGTCACTTGTATCTGTTATATTATGTCTCTTGCACTCCTCGAAGTAAAATTTTTCTGAAGTTAATTGACCGTCAGTCATGTTTAAAATGAGCATGAATGGATTAAACGCAAGATTGTCTTTGCAAGCTTATTCTCTCGTTCTCTTCAAAATTCTCTCAGATCATCTGTCATTTCGTGAACCGAGAAAAGGAAAAAGGAGAAAGAAAGGAAAGAGGGAAAATGCTACGATCACTTTCAAGGTATCGTTACGGCGTTCCCAGCGTAACTCAAGCCGTAACCTTTGGAACAGCGATACACCGGTTGCGTGCGATCAGGCCACGTCCTTGGAATCGTCGAACGCGGCTTAATTACGCGCGTGTGTCACGTCCCTATTCCATTCTTTTTCCTTTTATTTTTTTTTAGAAAATTATACGCAAGATCGTTCGATCATCGAGACACGACTTTCACATTTTCCTGAATCGATAGCGGCTCGTGCCGCCGCGTGGTATGTCCTCCGCTTCCGGTAACGTGGCCACGAACGAACAACGAAGAGGAAGAGAACGCGACGATGCAAATGATCGAACTTGTTTCAATCGCCTGCCTAGCTACCACACGTGTTACGTGCAACTAATTTCCTTATTGTGATTACTGCTATTTAATCAAGGCCTCTCTGCTCATGGGAAGAGCGCGTTCAATGCATGCGAGCTGCGCTGCGTACGCCGATACGTATTTTTTTCTTTCCCTTTTTTTCTTTTCCTTTTCGGTTTCCCTTCGTACGGTCGCAGATATAACAGTATCGGGGAATCATTGTGTTTGCGCTGATACTGAGATAAACGTAACGGGGAACTGGAAAGGGTTGCATTGGCGAGATCCCTCGCGGTCCAGTTTGTTTCTCACGTTTTCTCAAGCAAGGTGAAGCGATGCAAGATAGTAAGAAACATAATCGTGATTGTTCTTTCTCTAGGAAATTTCCTCTTTCAACCGGAGGAAATGTTACAACGTGTTTCGTGGTATTTAAGAGTTTGAAAAACGAGACGAATCAGACCGAACTATACTCGTGTCGATACATCCATGACGATGCTAATTGATCCGCCGAGCGTCCGACCAATTTCTCAGTGGACCAAATCAACACACTCTACTACCTGCTGCTTAGCAAGTTCCTTCCACTAGAACCTATCGCAAACTGTCACGTCCCAAAGACACCATCCTGAAACCACGATCAGTTTCCATTCACCTTTTCCAAACAAACAAAGAATTTAAAATTGGTAGATCTACGTTCGAATTGCTCGAAGAAAATTCAAAAGAAAACGTCAGGAGCTATCGTTCTTTCCTTTGTATAGGTAATTCGAGCAACCAACTGACTTTCCTCCAGTTGTAACCGCTAGAAGGTATCGGCAAGATCGCATTCATATTCAAACTGTTCACAGATCAATCAGCTATTCGAGATCACATTTCTAACCACGTGAGACATTGCGCAATAAACGCACGTACGTATGCACGAAAGTACGAAACCAACGCGAACCTAGAATATGGCATTAAAAGTGAAATTATCATGAAAAGTTAAGCAATAAAAATAAACTGCTTAAACGGGAAATTGTCTGCGGTAGAGTCTCGAGAGGTAAATTTATAGATACTGTTGCGACAAGGTACAAGGGAAAAGTCTCTTACCAAGGTGGATAAACTCCCCGCGGTGACGCGCCACCAGCTCTAATCTGCTCGTTGACGTAACCACTCCTCGGTACGTTCAGCGCGGACCTGATGCCTACGCTGGACCCGTCCAAGGTCCCTGGGCCTGGTTTAGGAACGTGGCTGCTACAGTACACCTCCTTGTCGTTGATCGTGTGCTGGTTGTTGTAGTAGGTTTTCAGGGTCAACTTGGTGCCGCAGATCGCGCACTTGAAGCAACCGGCATGGAAGAACGTGAAGTCCTTCAGCGGGCCGACTCTGTCCACCTGGTACACGGTCTGGGCACACCTCAGACACGTGCTTTCGTAAAAGTTCGGCCGATACATCCTGGATCCTGCTTTTTTTCGGTTTTCGTTCGTTGGCTAATCTTCTAGCGTCCTCAATCAGCGCTACACCTCAACGCCGTGGAACACACCGCGTGCGATCCTGAAAGCGTGCGATTATCGTGTCAGTAGGAAGTACGAAGCGAGGAAAAGAATTGGACGGACGATCGTTGCAAGGTGTTCACGATTTTGTCAACATTTCGCGATTTGATTAATTCGTAAATACAGGACATTTTGAATGATCCGCGCGAATTATGAAGATAAGTTAAAATAATTAGAATATACCTAGGATCTTCAGGCAACCGTCGATGAATGATCTTTGTTCCGCGACAAAACATGCATAAAAAAACCGAAATGGTTTCATAAGCTTAAAACGAGCGGCTTAATTGGCACGTAATTACCACGATGCAGAACGCGTGCACGCGAATCAGACCGCGGCTATTTCTTAACTCTCAATAATTATCCTTGCAGGATGTTTAAAAAAAAAAAGAGAAAGAAAGAAAAAAGAATTATACGAGATAGGAAGAAACGAAGCTGATAGCATCTCGATCGTGAGCGATCGAGAATGATAAACACATCGGCGTTATTAAGAATGGCCAGCGCCGCCGACACTTTCCTGTTGGCTTTTGCAACGATTTGTTGCCAATACTTTTCATAGTGGGCGATCAGCGGTAATTGCAAAAGATTTCACGAGCACACAGAGGTGCCTTGGTAATCGTACCAATACGACAACATCGTATCGAGATTTTCACACGTATGTACGTCCTCGTTAAAACACTTCGTTCGAAACGATAAACGATTTCGCGTTGTACAATCGCACCGTTGAAAATCGTATTTTTTCATTTCACCCTGCTCGTCTGTCGTTTTCTAAACTCACGTCCATCTTCGCGGCCAACTTTATTCACAATGTATCGCCTAGTCTAACGCAACTTAATTTTTATAAATACGAACGACATCTTTTACTGCGAATTTCGCCATTTTCCACGGTTTCGCTGACCCTGCCTGACTAATTGATGAATAATTTTTTATTTTTTTTTTTTTGTTACGAGAGAGATTCGTTCAAATTTCACTAGATTCGACATGAATACGAATACGAATACATTCTGTCCACAAAAGCACCGAGTGTGAACTCAAGAACGCACAACTTCCTTCTACGCCTAATAGACAATTGCGTCACGCAAACGTGGACGAGCGTGGACGAGCGTGAAGAAACGTGTCTTCTTTCGAACGAAGCGGCGCGTCATGGAAACTTTTTAAATGAACCATGTCCGGATCGTTCCTAAAAATTATTATCTCGGTTTCACCTCGGCTATTCGTGCAACCGCGTTACGATACAACGATCGGCTCCAGGTTTCCCTTTTTCTTTCCACGATTCATCCCGCAACGTCGGCCGAATTTCTCCCGTTGAACAGCCGGCGACCACACTGGCCATTACGTCATACCGTTAGCCACCATGCACAACAATAAACCGTAATAAACGCAGGATAGCCCGTCTCACGCATCACCGAATCGCGGCTTTCCGCTCGCCGCGACACGCACTGATTCGTTTTTTCAACCGCTGCATGAGTCCTCTCCTCGACGCGCCAGCGGGAGAAACAAAAATTCGAGCGGACGACGACGCGCTGGATAGTTCCTCTTTCAGAGAACGCGCACCACCATGCTTCGATTCTACGGCGAAAGGATTCTGTTTGTCGCGAATATCCCGTCCGATATCAAACACGTTCCTTACCGGTGCTTATCAACGTCTATCACACCGTGTAACGAGGATTCTTTGTGCCACTCGGCCGTGAAGAACTTTGAAAATGTCCGACCGATACGTGGCTCGAAACAATGGTGGCCAGCTCGTTAGAGGTGGCTTTATCGATGAAACGTGGAATGGCAAAAATAAGCGAAACGGTTGTCAGCTGTTATCCGAGAACGCGTTTCAGGTCGATTCACGTTCTGCTGGAGAAGCTGATTTGCATGCGATGGATATGGGTCAAAACTTCCAGAAGAAATCTCTCCTTCGCGTATTATTGCTATTGATCAGTAACTGTACGTTGGTAGTTTTATTTATCGAGTCACCGAGTTGTAAAAGACATTTTAATATCGTACACGCGTTTCGATACGTAACTGGTAGTCGTAAATGTTTAAAGGACGCTCGTAAATCGCACCTGCGTTCAACGTTTTTCTGCTCTCTCTCTCTCTCTCTCTTTCTCTTTCTCTTTCTCTCTGGTTTGCATTGCACTGCCGACTTCACGTGCATTTTAATCACATTGTACGTTGCACAAGAGTTGAAAGAGGAAATCGCAACAAGTCCCCGCAAAACGCGACACTTCCAATTACGGGGTCCCTCGTCGATTTTCATTCATCGCGTCACGCATGCCTGATCGATGAACGTGCAATTTTTTAACCAATCGATATCAATTCTTGAAAAAGAAGAAAACTATAATTTTTATATTGGTAAGATAATTTCATTGTATCGCTCTAGAGAAACCTCCAACACTACCTCGGGTGAAAGATAGGCGAAACAAAAGAGCTAAGTTGATCATACAACGAGGGAACACTATGCTTCTTGACATAATCTGGGTAAAGAATCTGGAGATTATCATTAATCGTCAGACACTTATAGCATGTAATTCAAAATGAAGATAAATGAACGACGTCGTTATAAAGTAAAGTAACCACTTATTAACCACTCTCTGTTCTGTTAAAGAAATTATATACTTCAAATTCTCAAATATCCAGTATCTCGAATACATTCACTCTTTTGATCAACTTATACACTCAACTCCAAACAAACCTGATCGGATAAGAAAAATTAATTTCCAGCTACGCGTCCAGCTAGAATTCGTTGGAAATTCATAGCGTCGAGTATACATATGAAAATTCCTCGATACTCAATTCATCCAAAACTGATCCAAACAAACCTGATCGAGCAAGAAAAATTAATTTCCAGCTACGCGGCACTAGGATTCGTTGAAAATTCATGGCGTCGAGTATATATATATGTATATGAAAATTATTTATTGTGTTCCACGCGTCGTTTATCACTCGATAATGCCGGCTTGAATACCGGTGTCCCCATTCTGGCCCACCTTCTCCTAGGTATTTACGCTTGGCGTGCGCACACGGTTACAGATGGACATACAGCTATGTACATACAGCGCGCGTATCGCGTTGAAAGAAACCGAGAAACTTTATATCGAGGTGAATCAAAGAGTACCGGGAACGCGAGCCTAGATTTCAGGGTTCGCAGGGCGACAACAGGTAAACAGGTATGGCCGATCGGCGGAAAAGGCGTGTTCTCCGGTGAACTGTCCGCGACAGTTTGTCTGGTTACTTAACACGCGCGAAAGTACCGGTGAATAGCAGGCATTCCGTTAAACGGGCACATCGAAAGGGCCTGGTACACGTTGCACGCCTCTCTCTCTCCTTCTTCCCATCGCGGAGATTTGAATGATCTCGCTGGACGACGTGCATTCTCGTGGAGAACGCGAGAATTGCTTCGAGAGCCCGTCGAGGAGCGCATCAGATTTGTCAAACACGTGTATCGCGAGAGCCCCACGGAATAAATCGCGCCCCCGTGAAATTGATAATCGATGAGCATCGGCGAAGAAAACACTCGCCGAAGCACATGATTCGACCGACCGGTCGTTCTAGCGGCGAGACAATTGGAGCAGCGAGAGAAGGAATGAAAAAAAGAAGCCGCGTATAACCAGCAAGGCCAGTGTTCCCTCCTTCCCCCATATCTCCTGCATACTCACGTTCTCATACTTCCATGTCCACCAGTTTGGTCCACGAGAATCTTCGACGATCGTCCCGGTGTAGCATCGTTCCGCAAACCTTCTCCTCTACACTGGTATCTTTTCAAGATCGGTTTCTTCCTGTTGATGATGATGAAATTCCACGAATTCCACGATTTATTTCCTATCGACTTTGCCGTGTACTACCTGCACACCTGGTCGACCAAAGACACACTGCGAGAAAATCGCGCACGATGCCACCTTCTCGGGTACGAATTTTCTCTCTCTCTCTCTCTCTTTCTCTCTCTCTTACAGCCTCACCATGCATTGAAATCACCAGGTGCCGATGATCACCGCGAGAGACCAACGTCGGAGGACCTCGTGTCCGCGCGCGCACCGCTTCTTCTATCGAGGAAGAACGAAGAGGAGGAACGAAGAAGAAGAAATTCCGGGAACAGATTCACCTGGCGAGCAGAGTATATCCCGACTTCACGGATCTCTAACTGCGAGTGGAAACCGTGACGAAGGCTGGACGATCGACGCTTCTCTCGTAGAACGACGACTTTGGTTTTGAATTTCGATTATCCAGTACACACCGGAGAGGCTCGGCTTGATAGTCTCGACCTTCCTGTCGAACGTTTTCTGGCACGGTTTTCGTGTGTCCGCCACCTGGAATTGAGGTCTCGCTACCAAGCGAGGCGGCCACGCGAGAAGTTGAACCTGAATATTGCCACCTGCTTCCTTCGACGTTCCAGGAAGATCTGAGGTGAGAGGGACGGCCATTTTGAGGGACCGTGCTGGCTCTCAGGTGGCGCTATAGTTGGAGAACCGTGGTTACACCGGTGTGGGTATATCACTCTTTTACGCGCGCTCACCTGGCAAGGTTCTGTCTTCGTCACCTGTAACGATGCACGCACACACGTTGTCGTTCCAACGAAATTTCCATTCTTTCGTCTCCGTTGTTTCTCTCTCGGAAAACTGAATGAATGAAAAAAAGAGAAGAAATGAATTTCTTTACAGCCGTAGTACACAAATACACGAAACTAACATCGTCATTCTGTTTCTGCCGCTGAATGACTTTGACATCATTACCTAATACTTAATCGGTAAGTTGTAATAGCGACAAACAATCATTAAGTCTCTTGTGCTATTACAGACTCGTAGTTGAGAACGTTTTACAACTTCAAAACTAATGATATTTATATGTATCCATATTTATTATGGTCGGAGTGAAATCTCACTCTCAATTTTTCGAAGCGACGCGTATGAATTTTTTTTTCGTCAAGAAGATTTTTTCGTGGATGATCGTCGAAGGATTCTCGAGCCGGTTGGAACGCGGTCCCGATTCATTACTTTCATTCGTGCGATTGATCGATACGGCGATGGGAAAAAAGAAAGCGGAGAACGAGTCGCAACTCTGTTTACCGAGATTGGCGGCCACCGTTTTAGGACATACTTACCGACGCTCCCGATCACTTTTAGACACATAGATCGTGCGTCTATGTGTCTAAAAGTGATCGCGTGTGAAAACACGCCGCGCGCAATGCCGATTTATCGCGAGTTTACCGTTTAATGACAGGTGACGCGAAATCAGGATTCCTTCGAGTCCGTTCGGACATCATTTTTTCCCTACTTTTTTACGGCCAACTTTCACTAACGCATTGGGAACACGGTTCGTTGGAATGTTGCACTCCCCGATTCGAGTTACGATTGTTAATGCTCTGACAACAATCGGGCGAGCTGCGAACTGTCGGCAGGTGTGTCACGAATCGAACAATTGTGCCACGCTGTGTCAGGAAACGAATTAAATTCGTCACACTTAAGAGAACTTTGCGAAATTCTTAGCAAACGAACCTAGGAAGAGATATTTTAACATATTATTTAACAATTTCGAAAACTGAAAGATGATCAAACATGATTCGAGTGAATACTTGAAACATTCTGCCATTACCACGAATTAACTTCGCAAAATCCTCATTGAGCAATTGCCGAAATCACTGATTGCTAATTACTTTCCCTTCCGGGAGAAGTGGAGACTCGCGAACCAAAAGGAAAAATAAAAAAAAGAAAGAAAGAAAGAATCTGCTTAATGAATCTCTCACGGATGCAAGAACGAAGCATTAAACCTTCATCATCAGGCTGCTTATGGTTGTTTTCACCCGACACGCCGAGATATCGGGCTCCGATATCTCGAACGAGATCGTTTGCCTGAGAGAGTATGTACGGGCAGACTGTTGTTCTTTTTCTTTCTTTTGCTTTAGGGTCTGATGAGAGGTAGGTTGGTTGAGCGCCGGTTAACAGCGAATTCGATAAATTATTTAAATGAATTGTTAAGACCACTCGCGAGAGGCGAGATCTCTCTTTCTTGGTAAACGGCGTTCCAGACTGACGTGGCGTGCGAGTCTCAGTTCTCGTTTTAGTAAATTGCTCGTAGACCTGTTTCTTACTGGGTTCGAGATTAAAACGAGACGCGGAGGTGGGGGAGGGAAAAGTAGAGGACGAAGGCGAACGAAAGGAAGGCGAACGAGGAATCAAAAGTTCTTTCGCGCGGAGCGAGAAACTTTTCGATGCCCACGCGGGTACGCGAATGCCTCTCGTGGGCACGTGGGAAGAGGCAAAGTTGTATAGCAAAGATGTGATGCAACCGTGGATATAATACAGATGCAAATTTAAGTCGGCAGTCGGCATATAATTACACCTTGCTGTATTTAGTTTTACGACTGTATAACTTGAATCGAGTGCTTGCCTTCACCCGTTCTTCGCACTCTATCTCTCTTTGAGAATCCTGGTGCTCAAGATTCTCATTTTTATGGAAATGCGCGAGATCAACTTCTCCATTGTATTTTATATAAAGTAAAAATTCTGTTTTGAAGGTATTGATTGCTTTATATCACGTTCGACGTGATATTTGGAGCGATTGGATAGTCATTAAGATTCGAATGCGTGTTTCGCTTCTTCTGTAATTACATACATCGTTGTTCCAAGCACGATTTCATTACGAATTGTTAAGGGGACAATGCCCGGGATTTATTCGTGATTTATTTATTTATCATTGCAAATCATCGGAGTGAGATCGTTCTTTCACTGATTCATCGTGAATTGCTTGCAAGTTGCAACGAAGTAACAAAGTTAATTTACGTTTATGTTCCCTTATAATGCCCAAATATTGGAGAGAGCCAATCGATAGGATGCGCTACAAAATAAATTCATTTACATCGGTCGTATAAATTTTTCATTCAGTTCACTGGGCGTATCGTAAACATTCCTCTAAATATAAATTCCGTTCGCCTCGCGTAATATTTTCCGGTCCTCGATACCTATTTACGCTTATTCGCTCTTTATTAACTGCTATAAATAAAACGTGCACGTGTAAAATATGTGGAAAATTCGCTTTAAATAGATTATAAACCGGCGAAGCTTTTTTTAAAAACTAGAAGCAAATCCTACGACAATTGATATCTTTAGAACTATCAAGAACGTGGCCAAAACATTATATTTAGTTTCAAAACTAAATTGAAGCACAGTCTCGCTAACTTAAAAGTTGACTGACCCGTTGAATTTTAAAGTCGCAAAGTCTATGAAGAAACTGAAAATGTCACTCGTCAGATTCGTCTCCTCTAAACACGCATTTAACCGTGACTATTAGTTAATCTCGTCGCACGTCGTGTGTGTTGTACACGTACGTACTCATTAACATCAAGCACGTGTTTATCGAACGAAGAAAAAGAAGATCCCTTCACATTTTCGACTCGTATTGTCGCCCAATTGTATTATAATCGCCCATGAGTGCGTACCATTCCCTTCCATCATCCATCGTTCTATAAAATCCTCAAGGAGCACGAGTGTCCCAATTTTCCCATCGCGTGTCCCCGGTGGAATTTCGCCGTCGCGCGAAAAAAGAAGATCAAGATCCCTTTATATAGCGTGTCTCCGAAGAACAGTGCGGAGACACACACCGTCTCTGGTTTTCTCGAGCAAGTGCCAGCTCTAACACGCTTCTAAACGACGCTCGGCGTCGCGATATATTTACGCGAACGGGGAGAACTTTGGTAAAACGGTGGCAACGGTCCAGCAAGCGAACGTTACGGAAATAGATTTCGGCTGGTGGCGATGCAACAGCAGCTCCTTGTAGACGACGAGCGGTCGGAAGCGGCCAGTACCGTGACGACCAGTTCCCGAGGAAAACCGGAGAAATCGCCTCCGCGAGATCCCACATGAATGTGAGTGCCGATCTTCCTTTCACGAGTGCCATTATCCGGTGCCGCGTATGTCGGTGCCCGTGCGTGACGTAGCCTCGTATCCCCGGTCCCGTGGTGCGTCCTTTGTTTTCTACGTGCTCGCCGATAACACGGTGCATCGCTTTGGTGCAACGCTCCACCGCTCTGCAACTTCCATTACCTCGAAATGCTCTCCCTCTCCCTCTCTCTCTCTCTCTCTCTCTCTCTCTCTTTCTCTCTTTCTTTCTCTCGAACGAGTGTACCTTCGACGAGACAAAAAGTTTCAGACTTCTCAACTTCTGTTCTCAGATATAAACGTGTAACAATTGCAAAAATCCACGTTTTAAAGAAACTTTGGAGAGTTTCCCCCCCTCGTACAAGTACAAGCACAAAATAATGGCACCGTGAGGACACCAAAAAAACGCAAGATGCACATTTGCACCGAGCAAAAAAATCGAAGGGATCCGACGTGAAATCTTTTTATTGTGTTTACTTCGGAGGAGAAAAATAATCTTGGAGAGGTGAAGCAAGTTCGATGAAAGGCAGAACCGATGAGAACGAGCCGGCGGATTTCACCGGTTTTACTTTCGCGAGGTGAAACGGAAGTGCATCAGTAAGACGCACAATCGATGAGAATCTTCGTGGTCCGTGCACCGCGGAAGACACGAGAGGATGTTGTGTCGGAAGTTTCCGCGGGTTTCCGCTCGTGCTGCACCGCGGTGTTTTTTTCTTTTTTTCCTTCCGGCGCAGACCGGAAACCGGGGATTGAAGATTGTTTATGAAGACACGCGATGTCTTGGCCGCGCTTCTGCAGACGTGCCTCGGTTCGGTGACATTATCGCGGCGAAAGCATCTGATTATTCCGCCTCGCGTGATCAAAACGAGTGGATACATATATACGCAGCGTTCTCATTTAATTGGATCGCGCTCGGGGACGGGGATTTTACGTACTCGGTCGATTGCTTCCGGGATTGCTGCGTGATTTGTGACACTTGTCAGTGTGAAATAATCGATTTTGTTTCTTTTCTCCCATAATTGATATTGAGCCTCGATTCACAATCACCGGTTCTCTGGATATATTTCGGTATAAATCGAGGCTGACGCTTGTTCGTTAACTGGCAGATAATAAAGCTCGCGGAGGGATGTTATTACGTAGTTAGAAGAAAAATGTTTGGAGAAGAAGCTAGATCGTGGAGGGAGGAGCTAGAACTTGGAACGTGGCCAACTTTTGTAGACTTTTGCAATTTTGTCGGGAAATAGAGTTTCGTGGAGCACATTCGTGCTTTTTGTCGAGGCAATTCTTCGCCTCGAAATTAACTCGTCGCGACCATTGATACCAGGTTCGAATGAAATTTATCGGTTGTTTCTTTTTATTTTTATTTTTATCACTATTCTCGTCTAGGAGAACACGCGACGATCGCGGCAAAATCTAAATTTACAATTCTTGGGAATCGGATTGCTTTGTTGCTTTTGTAGTAGACGGAATGGTATCGTAGAACAAAAGTCGGCAAGAACAGAAGGGGTAAACGTTCTAAAGATATAGGAGGGTCTAATTCGAGGGTCTAATTCATGCGTGTGGAACTCACTGCTTCGACGAGTGGCTGGAACCGCGAAATTACTTCATTCGACGAAGCGAATTACTCTTCTTTGATTCATAAACAAGTGTAAATATCTCCTCGTAAGGAGAGAAAAAAAAACTGCAAAAGTGAATATAAATATGAATGGACTAAATCAAAGAACCAAAATTTAAAAAATCACAGTTCTTCCTTTTTAATTCGTAGATTCACAGACGAAAAGGTAATAAAAGCTTGTCTCGTTAAAGAAAAAAAAAAAAAAAAAAGAAAACGTAGATAATCGAGATAAATTCCAGAGAAATCCGAATCAAATATCGACGTGGGGGTTGAATGGACTTGAGAGGCACGATATTTATTCACTTTCCGTGTCAACACGATGAAATATAGTGTCGCGTGGCTCGATTTTATTTCGAGACGCGGAACACGATTTTTCCCCCAGCAGAAATAGATTCGATTTTGGGCTCTTCCGGCGTAGAACCAGCCGCGTGACGTCATGCTTTCTCGAGGATACACCCGATAAATCTCGTCTAGCGTAGTCACTCTGCGCCGACAGCCAGCCCATGGTGCGATGACATGAATTCACGTATCGCTTGGCAGCTGAATACGAATTGTTAGGTGTTGCCAGCTTGTCACCCTAATTCCAAGACGCAAAAATCCACCGCAACGATACAAACAAATGACGAGACCCACCGTCGTTACAGAGATCGTTTCGCATTTGTGAATTTTAATCTCGCCGTAAATAATTTTATCGATTAATCATTAAATTAGCCAATTTTTATGACGAAACTTCCTCGAATTCGGCGAATCGTTTTCACCAAAATCTTTTTTAACAGCGAAGTGTTCTCCGTTACAGAACCCGGGAGCTGAAAAATGGCGCCCGATGGCCATCTCGAACCCATCGACTCGGCTACGCATGGCAAGGTCCATGCCCCACTGGGTACTGGTACGTACGAACTTCCATCTTTCTCTCGAACCACCCCAACAACAACACTCCCTACGTATACCCTACACGTTTCTCGCCGTGTAAAAGGCGCAACAGCAGAAGGAAGCGGAACAGAAGCAACAACGCCGGCCACCGACCCCGCCGAAAGCCCCGCCACCGTCGCTCTCCGGAGACTGTGGTGACCCAGACTACGAGATCATCGAATTTCCGACCCGACCGCAAGCACAGAAGCCCTCGACACCGGGCGTCACGTACAAGTGCGCACTGTGTGGCACCGAGAACGTGTTCGCCCGTTGCGACATTTGCAACGGGAATTACTGCGAGGCCTGCGACGACATGAACCACAAGCACCCGAAAAGAAAGAATCACGTGCGCAGGAGGATCTTGACCGATCTGGCGACGAAGACGCGGCCGCCACTTCCGCCGAAGGGGGACAATTTGTCGAGCCCGCCGCCGATCCCGCCGCCAAGGAGAAACCGGAAGAACGCTCAGGTAGGGTGCAATCTCGCCTGAAGCTTTCATCCCTTCCCGTGAACTCTCTTTCAGGCTGACGGCGTCTTGTCGACCATAGGTACCGGTGAGCTGCCTGAAGGCGATGCAGAATCTATTCGGATGCTCGTTGCTGGATTCCATCGGGGTCAATGGAAACCAAGTTGCGAGGGTCGCGAGTCCCATATTTTGACTATTCCCGCAACCGTTGCTCACTTCACCTCTTTCAGTTCTTTCGCACTAGTAAGACTCGTTGATTTGATTCCGTTGGCGAGAATAGATCTCCTCGAGACTGTCGAGGCTTTATCCAGGGTCAGTACAGTCGCAACTTTGTCTCCGGCGAGCTCGAATCAGCTGTCGTTTCGTTACATAAGAATAGATGTTGCTTGTTAGTCGTTGTTAGCTGTGTCGACCGCTGACTTCGGCTTTCGGCGCCGGTCTCGTTGATTTCTGCGAGAGAGCACGTCACACCGAGGCAACGCGGAGATTGTCACTCGAGCGCCGTCAATCGCATCGAGCTTTAAAACAATTGTTCCACAGATGCACCGACGGATTTTATAGAGATCTTTACTATTGTATATCGACGTTGTTGTTGTTTCTTTCTAATACACCACGTTACCGCAAAAACATTACTGCCGTGTTCACTGATACCCGTTCACTCTTTCACTCTGTCGATACGCAACGTAACGGTGGGAAAGCGTCAACGCACGCTGAAGCTTCGCATAAGTTTCAGTGCCTTGCACTTTGAGCGATTACCAAGCACGACGGTGAATATGGCAGGACACGGTGATCATACACCGTTTCGCACCGTTACTACTAAACATCATCTTACGATATACACGTAGATATTTCACTTTGCTTGTTTCCTAAATACACGTACATTGTCACACCAGATCAGTTTATTATTTTCAGCTTGCAGCAGCGAGTTTTTGTCGCCACTAACGCAAGAGTAAAAATCGATCTGTCACGTTTCAACATTCACGTTATTTCGATTTACTTATTTAAGTTGTCAAGCGATTCTCGATCCGCCGAGGACCCGAAATTCCCTTTAATTTATTTTCTCTTCTACTAACGCTTTGTTTATCATCGATTTAGCTTCGCACGTCGCCGCAATTTAATTTTAGCGCCGCTGCCTCCAACCGCGAACACGCGCCATCCTTTTTTTTTTTTTTTTTTTTTTCTTTCGAATACCTTTTTCCATCGTCGTCCATCCATAGATAGAAAGAAAGAGCGAAAGCGACGCGCACGTTCGACGATTCGACGATCACGGCGAAAAAAGAATAATAAAAAAAAAAAAAGAAGCGGCAACATTCCCAAACGACCGTGTAATAAAGTTCAGGTTTCGCGCTTAGGCTAAATCGACGCAAAACCAGGGACCCACGAATCTCTCCTTGATCGAGAGAGTCGGCAGCTTGAAGCGAGCTCTTCCGAACGCTACCAGGCCACTGTCAGCCACGCTTGACGCGAAAACAGTATCGAAATCCATGCAGTCTGTGAATACCAACGTCAGCGATGGATTAGGATCAGGATCAGGAACTGACAAAATGTCCACGCTCCAGGTAAGCCGTTTCTTTTTCGATAATATCAAAACTGGCGCATATGAAATGTTGTTGTTTCTTTCTTCTTCGAAAATTATATCTTAAACTTCTTAAACGGTAAACCAGCTTTCTGCAAAGCGCATCAAAGAGCGAAAGGATTCAACGTGTGCAAGTAACTTCATTCACGAATTCGAATTTCGCAGAAACGACAATTCGTATGCTAATGGAAAACGTTTAATGAATATTTTACACGTTCACTCTATTATTCATCGGCAGCTCTTGGCGTTTAATGAATGTAACTGGTAAATTATTCAACGGGCGCCGTTTACTACTAACGCCGGTTTAGCGTTATTCGGTAATTCATTGCCGGTTTCTATCTGTTCATCGAGTATTATGAAATGACTAATTAATACTTGAATACGTTCGCGTAATCCGGCTGAAACGTTAAGCATGTTGTTTGGCAGTGTGCCTTCGCGCGAAACGGCGATACAAAATATGTACGAGTGAATTCAACGAACGTGTAAAATGGATGACGGACCGGTAGAGAGGCCCGGATTAATCGTTCGACGGGTGTACGAATATTCAGGAAAGGTACAGGAAGTATCAGGAGGCGATGAGAGCGCAGGATGCGAACAGAAGGAGACATCCTCCACCTGATATTTCGAGGGACACGCTGAATGCGAGACCGTTGAGTATAGGCAGCCCGAAACTCACGCCCCCGGCGCCACCACCGCCACCGCCTAGATCGATGATGCAATCAACCAGCGTTTGCGATCTATCGTCGCCGCACATGTGGAATCCCGGAATGCATCAGGTAACTTTTATTACTATAAACCGGACGTCATAAGTGAATGTCGACCAATTCACGCGTAGCTCTCACTTCGAAACTGTAGAAGAAAATTCATAATATTGTTCGCAAGCACGACACGCACAAGTGGATATTTAAATCTTCAAATCAAAGAATTACCTTTCGTTTGATTGAATTCACTTGTGAATTATTTTACTAGGCACAGTCAATGGCGCATCTAGGTCCTGGAGGCATGCCGATAATGTGGTATCCACCGAATCCACCGTGGGACGTGACCATGGGCGGTTCCACGATGAGTTTAAATCACCCAGCAATGTGGGGTTATCCCATGGGATTCCCTCCGTCGCAAATGCTTCCGCCGCACTATCCTGGCTCCCTGTCACGGCCACACAGTCCAGCAAGAAGCGTGAAATCGAGCAGAAGGTCCAGAGTGGCCTCGCCGTCGCCTAGTCTGAAGTCTAGAAAGTCATTGGCGAGCAGATCACGGTCGAGAAGATCGCAGGGATCGCCGTCAGACGCCAGTTCCGAAGACTCTGGCGACTCAGACTTCGACGACAGGCTCTCTAAGAGCTCCAGACGCGGAAGGCAAAGAAGCTACCACGAAGACGATGGCTCTAGAAGCTTGCTAAATAGAAATCGTCGCGAGTGAGTAAAAATTTCATCAGCAAGCTACTTACCCACCGTCACGCGGGAAATCCATTCAAAAAATTCGGAACATACACGAAACATAACGATTCGATATTTTTCCAGACGATTGGTTTCTGAAGAGAAGATGGCCGGTGCGGAGGATCAATGGTTGGAGAATCACTCTGTCAAACGATATCCCATATCGGGGCCAAAGAGCTATGACGAATTCCAAAGGAACACTGTAAATTTACGACGACGATACGACCAAGACGAGCGCAGGCTCTCCAGGCTGGACTCGCGATTAGATCGCGTTCAGAACGGTAGCTATCGTCGAAGACGAAGCACAGACGACGAGTCCTCGGACAGACGATCTACGTTGCAAACACGATCTCGAGTGACTAGTTCCTCCGACGACCACTTCGAGAGATCGGAGATCCCTGTCCCCCGACGAAGGGACGACGAGGTAGCCCCAAGAAGAGCTTCCTCTGTCAGAAGAGAAATAGCTCTGGACAATCTCGAGAGATCCTCTCGCAGAGACTCTCGAAGATCCTCTATAGACAGCGACACGCCGATTAGCAGAAAGACTCCTTCCAGAGAAGTCTCTAGGAAAATCGAGGAAGCAGAGAGAATCGATCACTCGCGACATATCAGGGACGAGGACGACGTGCCACGTGCTACGAGGAATCTGCGAAGTCGCGAACCGTCGCGCGACAGAGAAATCGTATCGAGGAGAAACTCCTCGTTGAGAAAGGAATCTTCGTCGGTTGAAGAAACGGAGAGAACTGGCGTTAGAAGAGCGTCCCATGATTCTGATCAGAGCACCAGGAAAACTCCATCTCGTGAATCAGTCTCTAGAAAGATTCGTGAAAACGAAGTTCAAGACGCGACGCGGTCCGCGACTAAGAATCCAGAAGAAGCTCGACGAAGATCTGTCGAAAGAGAGAAAAGAAGCGAGGAAGCATCGGTTAAGAAGATGGAGAACGAAAGAGGTAAACATTTGGAGAGAACGTCGTCGATAGGCAAAGAGGAGAAGCGTGAAACGTTGACGAACGTCGATCAACAAAAATCGAAAGAAGCGAAATCGAAAGAGGAGCCGAGCGCCACGATGGAAATTCCAAAAGAGGAATGGGCCTGCGAGCATTGTACTTTCATAAATGACCTGAAGGATCGTGTCTGCGTCGTTTGTTGCAAAACGAGAAGCAGCGCGCTACCGCCGAGCAACGAGGAGAATCAAGAAGACGTTCCAAGTGACGTGAGTGAAATCCCCAAGACGAATGAATTGGCGATAATTTCCAGCAACGTCAGCGAGCCCAGTCCCGATTTGGAGAAAAGGACCAGCCTGTTAAAAATTTCGAACAGCGAAGAGAGCGGTGACAGTGGTTCCACAAAGAACAAAGGTAGAACAAGGCGCAAAATCAGCTTTTCCTTTGGTACCAAATCGAACCAGTGACTTAGAATTATTGTACCTGTTCTCTCTTTTTTTTTTTTTTCGTTTGAATGTTATTCCCCTGTTCCCTGTCCTTCGATCCACGTGCTCCACGTTTGTCTGTCTCTCTTTTCTTTTTTACGAAAATAAAAAATAAAAAAGAAAGAAACAAATGAATAAAGAATACGATTGTCCTCTGTCGATGTATATCCTTGGATGAATAATAAAGAGACATGCAAATTTGTTTCGTACACGATCAGTGGGTACCAAATGCATAGTCGTATTTGAAATGAAGCCACTCTCTCTCTCTCTCTCTCTCTCTCTCTCTCTCTCTCTCTCTCTCTTTCTCTCTCGTTCATTTTCATTTCTCTTCTTTTCTTTTCTCTTTTTTTTTTTTTTTAAAGATCATGTCTGACGCAGTTATTATTCATTCAAGAGGAGCTAGTTTCAAGCACGAGCGTGCATTTGGCTGATGTTCTTTCCATCCAGAATTCGTTGTCGAATTACTCTCTCTCCTTATAGCAAATCCTGAAGGTTTTAACATGCTCCAGCTTTGAAACTGTAGTTAGATTAACAGAAAAATTCCCCCTAAAAATTTCCGAGACGATCCTTTTGATTTTGTTTGGAAATATAAAAGCCGTATATCCTGACTGTTTATACGTTCAATTATTCTAATGAGTATCCTCCGTTCCTTGCACCGTGACCATGTGTACGCAATAATTTCAAAGAAGTGTTAAATGAAGTAAATTCTAACACCAGTAATGGTAGTATAATTAAAATTTCAAATATCCACGGTAGACTGTAAATGTTTAAAAGTGCGCAGATTTTAATTGTCAAACCGACGTCTGAAATATGATCTGACCGCTTAAATTTACAGATTCCGCGACGCTCGAAGAATCCCCTGCAATTGTCGCGCAGAAATCGATTGCTGAATCCCCGCCAGTGGTAAGAAACGAGGCCACGTTGATAGCGAACGATGCACCAAACGAGACAAACGAGAGCATCGACGCCCCAAGCAATACTTCGAAAATAAACGGGGAAGAATCAATGAGGCGACCAATGCTTGGGAAAATCCCAAAAAGCCATTCAGTTTCCACCGGAACCTCCCCCCCTCCTCAAAGTATTTCCACTCAAGTAAGGGAGAACATACCATCTCTTTTTTATAAAAAAAAAAAAAAAAAAATAGACCAGTGAGCACGACTACAAAAAGCACGAGCGAAGCACGAAATATACTTTTCAGACGTACGACTACCTTCCAGCAAGAGGAAGCGCTGGATTCGTAAGAGCTACATCCGCTTCAAAGGGATTATTGTATTATGAGGACAGCGACGCGGAGGTAAAACAAAAGATTAATACGTAGATCAGCGAGTACGAGTTGGAAATCTCGTAGTTCAAACGTAGTTTACAATAATTTAGAAACGAACGACAATTTTTTTTTTTTTTCATCTTTGATTTTCGGGGCAAACTTATCAAACTCGAAAGGAATTTCCATCTGACATGTGAAAATACATGACAAACGATGCAAAAATTTAAACGCGCGATTACCAAAATAACGGAGAATTTAATTTAAAACGATTCGATGTAAAGAAGGATGCCGAGTGTCTGTTTCAGGAACAAACCAGAGTCGCCAATAGTCCAGACCTGTATCCGCGAACGATCCAGGAGCAGTATCTCCAACAGCTGATCAACGCGCCGAACAGAGATCGTACGCGAAGAAATTCCATCGACTCCGCCCACCTTTATTACCGTTCCAGGGTAAACTTGACAGCTATCCCTCGCGAACCGTTGGTTTCTAATCCGATCTAATCTCCAGTACAATTTAACACACACTGGACGTTTTTCGATTGTGCCAGTTACGTAGGCCTCGGTGTGAACGTAGGCAGGAATTTATAATTTACAATCTTTCACAGCGCCGTATATCTGTCGCTCCAACTGGATCTTCGTATGAGAATACTCTTCTCTCCACATTCAAATTTCTCTGCGACTGTGTGACCATTAATCTAATAAACAACTGAAATTTGTGTCACATGTAGATTGTTCTAGACTAGTAGCTTTAACGTAGCATTAAGCCCGTAACATTGTTCGTTCTTGCGTCGTTAAGTCTCTACAGAAAGTGCATCTTACGACGATGAAACCTTTCTATAATTGTTCCTAACGTGTGTGTTGTTCCGTCGGCCAGTTTCGATCGTCGTCAATCGAGTCGTCAATCTTGCTGTTGCAGGAGCCGAGCCAGCCGAGGTTCTTCGAAGCCGCTGGTCCAAGCTCGCAAGGTGTTTCAACGCTGAGACAAGGCCTGGAGATCGTGGAGCTCCTCAGGGAAGCTGAGAAACACGGTTATTCCACGGACGATGTTCAGGTGGCCCTGTCGCAGGGTGCAAGCGACCCGATCGACTGGCTGAAGACGCAGTGGCCCCATTTGGTGGAAACTGTGCAAGTTTTAGCCAGCACTCAGGGAAAAGAGTTGAAGGAAAACAATATCGGAGTGCTATCCGACGTCGAAGCGAAAGAGGCCTTGAGAGTTGCGAAAGGAGACGTTTGGAGCGCTGTCGCGATGGCTGTTCAACGTAGACAGCTAAAGGTGAGAGTTTTTACAGCGTTTCAGAGTTTTTACATTACCGGAGGGAATTTTGAATGATAACTCTGTTGACAGTGCGAGGAAATTATGAAGAAAGGGAATTTCGCAATGGCGGAAGTGGTGAAAGCGTTGGAAAATAATTCTGGTGCCGAGGACGCGGCTTTGTTCGAGCTGCAAAAGAATCAGCTCAAGCCGTTCCTGATGAGGATATGGGGTCCTCCGGTTGGGGTGGAAAACGACGAGGCTGCACCGCGGGAAGGTTAGCAGTTAATTCAGCGTTGATTTCTTCTCTTCTGTTTACTTGAATCGTTTGTAACAACGAATTTCTTTAAAATTTCTTCTTCAACGATAGACAAAAATACATTTTCCTTTTATCGAACAAATTGTAACGTCTGACGAGTACTTTTATATCACTCTTCACTTCACGATGATAAAGGTGAAACGATTTCAGACACGGCAGGTGCGGTCGGTGGTGGAACGGATGGTTCCGAACAGGTTACCAACGTGTCAGACGCTGAAGCCAGGAAGCAGGTAATGTCACCAATCGTAGAAAATTTCATCACGTTGCAGGCCGACTTTCAAAAGCAACTGGCAGCCCTCAAACAACTGACCGATAACTGGCAACACGAGAAAGATCCCCTGAACACGCTCGGTAATAAGCCTGATAATCTGTATGAAGTAAACACTGACGATCGAACCGTTCTAATCGATAAAAATCTGGTCCCAAGGGCCGTACAAGACCTCAATGTAGCCAACACTGTTAAAACACTGGAGAACGAGAAATCAAAACGTGCTACTCCGGACGATGCTAAATTATTAACAATTGATAAGACTGGTATACTTATTGCGACCGAGAGGCAAGATCAAAATAACAATTTCACTGTAAAAGCGATTAACAATGAAACTCAGAAGCCAACAGAGAGTTCGTCGAATCAGAATCGAATCGACGATGGGCAAGAATTAACTAAGATGGAAAAAGTTCCACACGTAGAAGAAAATGAAGCAGTTCGATTGAAAGAGCACCAAGCAGAAAGTGCAGGAAATATCGATCAAATTTCGCCCACCGCGGATTCTGAAATTGTTGACGCAACCGTTGTACTTAAAGATCATGATCAGACTATCAGTTCTCCAACAAGTTCAATTCAGAAAGATAGTCCAAATCAATCGGAAAGTTTGCCAGAGAAGAATCCGAACGAACAAAGAACGAAAGAGATCTCGGTACCTGATGCAAACACAAAAGAAGGAAGAAACATAGACGAAGTAGAAGCTGTCTCGTCCCGTAACGTAGAAAAAGAATTATCGCATAAAGCAGAGGCCGGAACGACCGATGTAACCATATCGAAAGAGAATATAAAGCAAACGGTGGCGATGAGTTCGGAAGTAGCCGCGGCAAAGAGAGAGGATGGTGGTTCGCGCGCAAAAGAAAGCGAAACGACGTCCCAAAAGAGATCGGACGCCGGGCAAAGCAACCAAGAAGCAGATAAAGCCTGTTCGTCGCATTCAATGGAAAACGAAACGCCATCCCGAAAGACTTCTGATCCTCATCAAAGAGCCGCGCAAGTAGATAAAGGCTCTTCTTCGGCGGAGAGTATTCCTTTGCATGCTAGCGTATCGGGCCACGATTTGCCTCAAAGTACATCGAAGACGTCCGAATCGACTCGAGAGTCTCCGCGAGCTGAAATCGAACGAAATGTAACAGACCAAACGCCGGAGAAGCTAACAGCTTCTACGGAATTAATCGGGACTCTTAAAAATTCCACCGAAGAAGACGATAATGCGAATAGAGAGGCAGCGAGTGAAGAAACGGCAGGATCGTCGGATATATTAAGGCCCACGAAGGAAGATACGAAAGTAGAATCGAGTAACATTATCGCCGAAGGAGCGCAATCGCCGATAATCGCGGCTGAGAATGGCTCGACGAATCAAAGTTCTGAAAACGTCTCGCCGGAAGCCAGCGCGAAAGGCAACGAGACGCAAGTAGCCACGGTGGAGGCGCTCTTATCCGTCGTGAAATCGCTGCCAGAGCAATTACTGGGTCCTTTCATATCGGCGATGCAGATGCTGTCGTCGAAGAAATCGTGCAACGAGACCGATCCAGCGAACGTTCTCGAGGATCGGAATCCCTCGCCTCTTCGATCCTCCTTCGAAACTGGGTCTGGCAAAAATGAAAATGTACCTCTCGGGAAAGTCGAGAATGCAGGGGAGCTTGGCTCGGATGTAGCGGGAACTGAAACAACAGAAACGACCGCGGCTGACATCAAAAAGCTACAAGATCTCGAAATGGTACGTAAGAACGAAAACGGCGATAGTATTTCGCGTACTAACGTAGGAGGGGGGACGACCGAAGGAAAATTTAACAAGATTCGGGTCCCGGGAGAGGTGGCAGCGCAATTGCAGAGCGAAGAGAAGATCGAAACAGCGATAATCAAAGTAAGTTCACGAAAATGTTCTCCGGAAGTTGCAGTTACGAACGATACTAACAACGACGAAAAATTCGAGAAAACATCCGCGCAATCGCAAATGGCTTTAAATATCAATTCAAAAGCGACAGAAATCGATTCATCCCATCATCACAGTCATGCTGACGTGAATCCGGAAATTCATACACCGGACGATCCATCGATTCATGAACGATCATCGTCAGAGGAAGCTGACAAGTCTTTCGCAAACGACATCAAAGATCCTCGGTTTAACAATGCATCTTTGAACGGCGTATCACTCACCAGCGATAGTTCAACGAGACACAACGAGACCATTGGCGCACAATCATTATCGGATGAGACGTCATCCTCGTTCGTACGTGACTCGGGAACGTCTGAATCATCCGACATGCGAATGTCCACCGTCGAGACTTTAGCTAGCGATGATAACCGTGTGAAATTAATTGACGCCAGTTTGGTGACTGACAATAGACGACCTGAGGGTAATGTGGTCGTTCCTGGCCGTAAATTGCATGATAATAATCATACTAATTCGGTCGTAACCCAAGCAACAGCATCTCTTCAGTCTGCTAACCTTGAGGACAATTCTACAGGTCACGCGGTTTCAGAAAATTCGAGAATCGAATCGCGGAATATTTCTGGAGATGATTTCGTTAATGATTCGGGACATGTTAGGTGCGAGGCTAACGGTGGGGATAAAATTTCGGAGGATTCGAAGATCGTCCGAGATGAGATCTCTGAAGAAAGCACGGTTGCCAGTCGAGATTCTTCGAAAGACTCTGGGATATCTGAGACAATTTCTGTAACTCCTAAGACTGCTGTAACTTCCAAAGATTCCGAGATCGATGGAATTCTTGCCGAATCCCTTGAAATTTCGATGGATTCTGCGATTACACACGCAATATCAGAAAACAACGAGATTTCTGAAAATTCTAGAAACATTATATCCGACGTAGATTTAGAAATTATAGTCTCCGAGGGTTCAAAAGATTTTACACCCAACTCAAATGAATCTAAAGTTTCTGTTCAAGAATCCTTGAAGAATCCTCCTTCAGATTCTAATATCGTTGTCCACGAAGTTCTGGAGAATCCCAAGACTAATCCACGTAACATTTCCAAACAACCGGACATTAATACTCGCAAATTACCCGAAGAATCCGAGGTCCAAGAAATTCCCAACAAAGCAACGTTAATCGTTCACGAAATTCCCACACCAGCGTTGCACGTGTCTGAAAAAGTAGAGCAGCCTATGTCTGTCGCGTGTCACATTCCCCGATGCAACGACAAAATCGATACCTCGCCAATAAATTTGGCAAGTAGATCCGTCAACTCCAAAGAAACCGCCGAGCAAATTAACGTTAAATTAAAACCCGAGGAGGATCATCCTGTATCACTGTCACCTTCAAAAATTAACAGCGTGACAAAAGATTGCCCGCTGGAAATAAACGAAGACTCTTCGACAATTGTGGAACAGAATAATTTAAACAAATCGATGACAGCAATCGGCCCGAGGGATGAGCCAAAAATAAAACAGAACGATCAAGAGATAGTGTCCTCCTCGATATCGAACATTGTCGAGACAAATAAAGCTCGCGAAGCACTCGTGAATACCGAACCTGCAGTTGTAACTATCTCAAGTGATCCTTCTCGTATTTCCGGTTCCTCATTGAACTCGCATGCTTTGGACTCCGAAACCGTTAACAAGCTAAACTCTACGGATACTAACAACGTTCCTAAGTGCCTCGTTACTCCTAATAACGATATATCCTATAATGCGAAGTCGAACTCGAGCGAAGAAAATCGAACTATCGAGCTAAATTTGACCGATACGAATCGGGAAACTTATTTCGTTCCTAACGTGCCTAGAAACCTTGACAAACACGCCAGTTCGATTGCCTGCAACGATGGAAGTATCGCAAAGGAAGACTCGAACGGCAACGCGTCGCATTTATGTCCTCTAGCCTCGAGTGAAATCGAAGAAGATGAGAAGAGAAACACCGAATTATTTGTTAAAATTGTAAATTCTGCAAATGTATTGGAATTCGAATCGAGCGTTGAATCGAGTAATAATTTAGAGACTGAACGTTCAATTGTAAACAATATTAGTGACGTTCCTCCCGGAGTACCTGAAACGATAGAGATTAAGATCATAGAATGTCCCATGATAGCGGTGAACGATTGTGCGCCAATAAAGATCGTAGAAAGTTCGTCGGAGAGCGAAGCGAAGCTACCGATTGAGACTGTAAAACTGCAAACAGAGAGCGCGGCCGAAGCACGCAAGATCGTGAAGATTTCGGGAGAAAGCGCGGCGAACGACGAAAATAACGAAGTAGATGCAAATGAAGTCGATAAGACGGTTACGTCGAGAGTTGCAGTCAAGGAGAGATCCAAATCTCCAGCTAAAAAGGTCGGCAGAAGGAGGTCTCCTGTGAAAGTCGTCAAAAAGCCTACCGGCATACCGAGGAGGAATTTTGGAAAAGTTAGCCCGAGAGGTACGACGGTTGCAAAGGCGAGAGAGACCGCAGCTGAGATAACTCGAAGATCTTCGACTTTATCGCCGAACCAAACGTCAATGAGAAGCCCGGGAAAGACTACTAAAATTGTAAAAAACGTCCCATCAAATAATAGCCCGGTAAATAAAACGAGATTGTTAATTAATTCCAGACAGAAGCAAATACCAAAAAGTTCGAAAACCACGGGAACGAGAGCGATCGTAGAAAAGAAATCGACAATTTTGAGCACGTTGTCGAAAGGTTGCGAACAAATTAAAAAATCGATCGTGCCTGTTAATGATAAAAATAAGGAGATGACGGTTGAAAAGTCTGCGAAAGGTGGTAATATATTAAAGTCCTCTTTTCTATCGAAGATTCCCGTGTTCGTAGCGAGGCGTCGCTCTCTTCGACAAGTGCAAGAGGCTCCAAAAAGTTCTCAGCCGACTTCGAAGACAGTATCCGGTGACGGGTTCACCTCGGCGAAGCCATCGATCATCCAACAAATAGCGAGGAAAAGTCATTCATCTGGAAATGCTTTGAAGATCAGTGCAAAGCGGGAAACTGACTCGGACAATGTCGGAAATTTAAATAGCAGAAAGACGACGATCGTAAAAACTGAAGCCACTCGGACGACGACTTTTGACAGGAACGAAAAAATGAAATCCGCGATGATACCGGAGAAAAATGACGAGGAAGTAGTCGCGACCAAATCCAACTCCGCAGATCAAACGATATCCAAAGAATCGCATTTTAATGATACGACTTCCAGCGAGGAATACGAGCTAGAAGAGGCTTCAGATAACGATTCTTCCACTTCTAACTTCGAGGACGCAACGGAATCAGATATATCAGAAACGGAGAAACAGCTTTCCGATTGCACGTTGGACAGCATGGAGGAGCTAACCGATGCTGAAATCATGCTGCAGGAAACGATTAACGCGATAAAAGCAAAAATATCCGATTCAGAATTCGAAGATTCTGAAAATGAGTATATCACCGATAACGAGAGCCAAGAAGATTCTAATTCCAGTGAAATTTCCATAGATATTAAAGATTCTTCGTTTGAAGAAGAAGAAGAAGAAGAAGAAGAAAAAGAGGTAGGAGAACAATTAAAAAAGGATAAAGAAATAGACGACGAAAAACTGAATTATAGCATTTCATCTGAAGAGGACGAAACCTTGAGAGCTGATAACGTTGATGTAAAAAACCAACGAAGGCAAATGACAAATTTTCATGATTTAGACAATAATGCTACGGAAACATTAAAGGATATCGCTTCTGAAACTCATTCCATTAAAAAGCTTGAAGAACAATTAGCACCATTAAAGAACGGTAGAGACACGATTACAGATAAATCAAATAAACCGGGGGAAAAACTTGAAACGAACAACAACTCTGGTAAAAACGTTCAGAATAAAACAGATTCTAAGACTGAGGTCGCGAAAGCGAGACGTACGAGCGACAAGCGAGTGAAAACGAGTCGTAGAGCGAGTACAGGCTGTGACAAAGGGGCAGATCAGGGAGGAACGTCAAAGAAACGATTCTCCTTGGTGGCCAGTTGTATCCGTCGGTTCGAGGGCGAAGAAAAAACAGAACGGGAATACGTGGAAAGTAGGAGCGGCAACTTGAAGACAGGGGGATCTCCCAAAACGGAGAGGGAGGTCAGTAGACGTCAGTTGTCAGAATCGCTTGTCGACTTTGTCAGTTCTTACCACTGACAGGCCAATGTCTACAAACAGCTCTGCCAAAAGTATTGAAACACTTAAGAAAAACACGAGAAACAAAAAAAGAAAAGAAAAAGACAAAGTACCCGACAGAGTCCAGTTCAAATCTTAACCTTGTTTTGACTGTAGTTTTAAGCACATTTTTTTCCCCTCCCTGACTAGTGTACAGTTGGCTGTTGCTCTGTTTCCACGAAGGTAAGTATTCCTCTTGTTTCTCCTCGTGACTAATACTGCTGTTATATAGCATGTCGCTTTGTTTCGCGTTGCTCCGCTGTGTGTTTAAATTAAAAAGTAACAGAACCGTGGTGTACACGCGAAAGCGTACTCGAGGTTTGTATATGCTCTGCGAAGAAAGCACACCGGGAGAATTTAATTTAATATCGTGAAACACGACTTTTCCATCATCCAATTTGTCGAATGCTTTCGGTGGTTTTTATAGTTATTTAAACGCACGGGGATAACACGTTTTCCACCGACACGATCGTTTTATTTTGGAGAATAAAACATATCCCATAAAAATATACAAGCATTATGAAATTCGTTCTGATCATTCTGTATTCTGTGCCCGTCCTTCTGTATTCCTCGCGATCTTTCATTGGCGTATTAATATTTCGTAATGTCACTCTTAGTTTGTATATCACAAATAAACACGGTATTAAAATTCTATTCGCGGATTCGTTGATGTTACCGTAAAATTTCGAGAGCTTGTTTCTAGACGTTGGTGTAGTCTCTGTCTATCATACTTTTGCATGTCACTGTCCTTGTATATTATTTTATATATCAATCTTAATCTTAAGTCTCAAATATTTCGTGTCAAATACTTCTCAATTTATGTCAATGTTGTATTATTTCAATTTACGTCTATCTCGACATTATCTTTAATCCTACTTTTGTATTTAAATTAAATAGATGATATATAATTCTAACATATAATATGTTCCAACAGCCCAGTACAATTTAAATGACAAAAAGGAAAAGATGAAATTGTGAGAATTTTCTTACATTTACAGAGAATTGCTCGACGCCTCTTAGCAGAAGGAAAAGCGTCGAACTACGATGAGGCAGAAGTAGCTGCCAGTTTGCTAGCTCTGAAGTTCGGAGACGTCGAGGCTCTTCAAGCAGCCAAAGAGTGTTCCAGTATAGAATCGGCATTGGCTTTCTTACAACAGGAATGCGAGCTTTGCACTGGTCGCTTTGCAATGAGCCAGGTACTCGAAAAAAACAAAATGTCCATTATTTTATGTCAAAATTTATATGAATTATATGAACTATTTTTTTAAATATTCATGAACGTCCGCAGTCTAATTGTATGTAGATGAATTTCAATTAAGCTGGAATTCATTTCTAATCTCAGATAGTGTCCATGTTGAAATGCGTGCACCGTTGCTGTAACGAGTGCGCGAAAAATTACTTCACGATTCAAATCAGCGACAGAAATATCACGGATGCAGTTTGTCCGTTCTGCAAGGAGCCGAATCTAAAAGACGCCAGCGAAGACGAGGTGTTAGAATATTTTAGTAACCTGGACATACAACTGAAGACACTTCTAGATCCACCGATTCATGAACTCTTCCAAAGAAAGTTGAGAGATCGGACATTAATGCAAGATCCGAATTTTAAGTGGTGCATTCAGGTGTTTCTTCAATACAAATCTCTTCAATCCTCTTTGCTCGACAATTGAAGGAACGTCATGTATGTTGTTTTCAGTGTTCGAGCGGATTTTACGCGGATCCAGATCAGAAGAGATTAATCTGCCCCGACTGTCGATCAGTCACATGTGCACTATGTCGGAGACCGGTACGTGCTGACGTTGATAATTATACGAAAATTAAATGGAAATTACATAAGCGCGGATAGACATCCTCTCTGACGGTGGTTTCACTTTCAGTGGGAGAAACAGCACCAAGGAATTACGTGCGAGCAATTTGCTGCTTGGAAAGACGAGAATGACCCGGATAATCAAGCCGCCGGCTTAGCCAAGCATCTCGCGGATAATGGGATAGATTGTCCTAAATGCAAATTTCGCTACTCCTTGTCCAGAGGAGGTAAAATATTCGTACGGACGCTCAAAGCTTTAATTATTTGGGTTGTAGTGAATTTTTTTAAAAATTACGTACTCTATTACGAGTCAGAGTTCATTTAAAAGAGAAATAGAGCTCTTATCATTGAAAACGTAAAGTATTCAAATGAACGTTGAAGTTTTAGTAATTTAATTTCTATTAATTTTTTTTCAGTGAATTTTTTCCTAAAATTCTAAAATCATTAAAATTACTTAATAACGATAAATATTTGCAGGTTGTATGCATTTTACGTGCAGCCAGTGCAAATATGAATTTTGCTGTGGTTGCGGAAAAGCGTTCATGATGGGAGCAAAATGTTCGGTCAGCCCGTATTGCGCAAAACTGGGCCTTCACGCACATCATCCACGAAACTGTCTGTTCTATCTTCGCGATAAGGAACCCGTGCAGTTGCAACAACTGTTAAAAGATAATGGAATCGAGTACGACACAGAGGGTCCGGCTGGCGAGCGCAAGTGTAAAGTGCAATTGCAGAAAGAAACTCCCACTGGTGTTGTAGACGCGGTATGCAATTCAGATGTCGTTGAGGGACACGCTGGCTTGTGCAGGTAATTTGTTTGTCCCTCTGCAACTTTGCATGCTTTCGTTGTTATTACGACTACTACTTTTACAACTCAATACCTTTCTCTTTCAATGAAATCAAAGCACCGTTACAATTATACGAAAAAGAATTTATACAAACTATTAGAATAGATAGTTACAAGTAAAAATTATTAGGCACGAAATAAATGAGAAGAAGTGATAATAATACGATATGTACGATAAGAAAAATGTTTAAAAAATGATACCCAATTTTAATTTCTTTTCAACGTAATCTTCGAATATTCAGGATCCACTACATCGAATACCTAGTTCGAAAGATTCGGGAGACCCAATTGGAACCACTTCCGTTACTAAATATAGACGATCTCGAGACTTGCGTGAAACGTGCGGGAATCAAATTGCCCCCAAATTGGTACGGTCGTAATCCGGAACATTACAGGAGAGACTTGATCGAGGTAAATGAAAAGGCATCGTGCATGGCACGACTAAATTCTGGGTACTTTTCCCCGCAGGCAGCACTACATTGAGTACTTGGCGGGCCTGGTACTGAAGGGCAAACTGGATCCCGTGGCGATCTTTGACTTGAACGATGCCAAGCAAGAGCTGCGCCGTCGGGGAAAAGTTCCCCCTGCAAAGGACCAGGAAATGTCCGAGCGGGATTATCTCGAGGCGTGCATTCAGGTGACTAACAACTCCTCTCCCGCGCTCCTACCCCGACATACTGACCGAATTAACAAGAAATGCACGAAAGTAGACCTTCACGCATGACTTTCGCAGCCGAAAAGTGCGACAACGATGTGATGACGCGCAAGCGCGTGCACGTTGCCAGGAAATAGAGATCTGCAATTGTACATTAGAATTAGTTTTCTTCTTGTACAGTTTGTTGATTTTTTTTTCATTAAAATGAACAATAATTTTCCATACCGTTAAGAGGATTTTATTTTTATAGGTTGTACAGAAGGAGATTCCACTGGAGTGATAGTAGGGGAATAATTAATGTGCAACTTTGTGTGAATCACGCTTTTGATGCATCATGATATATTTATTTCATCGTATGGACAATGCTGTATAGAACAATTGACGATTAAAGTAACCAAAGATTGAACACTTTTTAGTATTTAATGTACAAAAATAATGTCTTTTAGAATAGGACTTTGAAAAACTAAATATCAGTCTTTTTATTCTTCATTCTCTCTGTTTTTCGTTTTTCTTTTTTTTTCGTAAAGAAAGCGTGACGAATGTTTTCTATGTAATAAATGAGAATTTGTGTTTATAAAACATTTTATAAGACACTTTAATAATAAACTAATTTTCAACAGAGCTCTGTTAAAAAACCATGTAAACTCGTCCTTTTTCGGGGTGTTGCTTTTTTATTTACTATGTCTTTCAATCGATTTATATTTAATTTTTTTATCTTTTGAGTTGGTGTTGTGTCTGTCGTACTTTCAACTTTTCTTATGTTTGTTTGTTTCAATCCCTCTGTAACATTTGAATTTGAAATTCCAGAAATATTTAAACCAGCAGTTCTATCCTTGGTTCTCTTTTTCTTCCGTTTTGCTTTACTTTCAATATTTTTTATTTCACTCTTTTGTACCTTTTCCCTTTGTGGCTTATCAAAAGGTATCTTTGTACTTTTTAAACAGACTGAACATTTAAGTACTAATCTGTTCATTTTATTTTTTATGCATTTTTCTGCTAAACTTCTTTGAACTTTAGGTATTCTTTTCTCACCATTATTCATAGAATGTATAATTTTTTTAATAGACTTAGAGAGTGGTTTACCTCGCAATATTCTAATACTATAATTCATAGTATTCCAGAGTGATCCACAAAATTGACACATCACAGACGGACCAAAATTTTGGGATGACAACTCTATTCCATGACTAAATCTTTTACATTTTTCTCTATAATACAATAATATTAAACATATAATATATATTCAATTACTTCTTTGCTCAAAGTACATGCATAATTTCTAATATTTAATACAAGTAAATAAAGTATAGCTTACATGTAAAATGTCTGCAAATTTCTGCTTTGCGAACAATTTAATTTCGTAATAAATTGATTTACATTCCATAAATGCTGTGCTTTTTCCATATTATTTTATTTACACACACGTGAAAAAGAGAAATAATTCAAAAGCAAAATATTTTATTCGTATTACTGCAGAATGTTAGGTTAAACTAAACTTTGTACAGTTTACGTACGAATACAATACAATACAATACGTTAACGTGTCGATAAAATAGTCGACTCTGGACACGAAGTTTCAAGTTTTCAAATCTTGGACGCCTAATTTTAATTTCCCTAATTTTCACAAAATTCCTAGAAAATAGATTCGATCGTTTGGAATGGAGAGAAGGGAAGAGAAAATATACACACTGATCAGAAGAGAATCCCCGATGTATGACATACAGAGATAATGCGTATTTTCGATAATCAAACACTTCTATTAAAATATTTGATGGCATTCAACTTTTAAGTGTAAATGCGAGAAATGTGTAACTACGAGCGTTAAAATATACCCGGTATAACGGACATAAGTGGCGGTATCCTATGACTTGTAAGCAAACTATACCAGAAAATTTTGAAAACGATATCGTTGCCAATTAATAGTAATCTTTGTTTCCGTTAGAAAAATAGAAAAAAAAAAAAGAAAAAGATAACCTCCAAATACGATCACGTCACTATTATTGAATAACAGGGTAGCCAACATGTGGAAATGCTGAATTGCTTGTAGAATTCCTAAACCAATCCATTAAAGATCCATGATATAATAATACGATGTATATCTAGTTCCGGCATATAGTTTCTATTCTATAAACAGATAGAACTACGGAGGGTGTTAGAAAAATTTTTATTTTGTCATCCTTGTCATCGAAGCACCGGGAGGACTGTCAAACAATACTTGAATTAAATTGTTGTCATTAAGGGGTAAATTAATAGAGCGACATGGGGAACGGGAAGAAGGGCGAACAAGAACCGTTATTAAAAAAGGAAAAGGAAATTTACGATTCTCCATTGAGTCTCGTTGGTAAATAATATTCGATTTTGATCACGAAAGAATTAGGTTTGTTTAATCCAATTGGTTACGGTTACCTCTACTACATTTTATTTCAGACGAAGTGGAATCAACTGTCAGTACAGTATCTGCAATAGGTCCTGATGAACTGCCACCTTCGTACGAATCAAATAGTCAGTATGGCATGCATATGGTTACATGCAGGGTTTGTCAGGCTATGATAGATATTTCTGGTAAAAGAGATCAACATGTTGTTAAATGCTGTCAGTGTAATGAAGCTACAGTACGTTATCAGAGTAATTTAATTCACTGCAAAATCCCATATCAGAAATAAGAGTGACAAATAGTCATTAATTTTTCAGCCCATACGAAACGCACCACCTGGAAAGAAATATGTACGTTGCCCATGTAATTGTTTGTTAATATGTAAGAGTTCTTCACAACGCATCGCTTGTCCAAGGCCAAACTGTAAACGTATTATTAATCTTGCTCCAAGTCCAATCACACCACCTGTTCTATCTATGCCTGGAATGTGTAGGGTATGTTGTGCTCACTGTCATGACACATTTTTGGTAAGGATTTAAAATATTTTATTTATAATTGTGAATTTAGGATATTTTATTTATAATTGTGATTTTATAATAATTTATATTTGTATTATTACACTGTTTAGTTCAATACCTTAAATAATGCTTTGGCTCGATGTCCACATTGCCGAAAAATATCCTCTGTCGGTCCAGATTTTGCTAGAGGTCGAGGTATTGCATTCTCTATTGTTGGATTAATAGCCTTAGTAATTGCAATAGCAGTGACTGTAAGTACAGTTATTATATATGTTAATAAGATTATGTAATAAAAAAATTTGAGATACTTTAAACATATTTTAAAGCTGATTACAATTGATATAATTTTATTTTTAGGTTGGTACACATACATATGCAAAATCTAGTGGTGGAATTTACATAGCTTATGTTGGTAAGTATAATAAAATTTGTTTAAATTGAATGATTAATTGAATATATAAATGTCTTAGGTCTTAAACATAAAAAACATCTCACTTAAATATACAATTATATCTCACTCAAATAACAGATTGTTCTTTTTACTAGGTCCCTTTTAAATTTTATTTTCAGGTGCATTCCTTTTGGCAATATTGGGCTTTGGACGCAGCATTTATTACTGTACAATGAAAATTAGTATGATAGAAGGTCCTATGTAATACTCTAAACGACAATCAATTGCTAATATTTTAAAACCAATTCCTCTAACATCTATGTCGTATAATAATATATTTAGATCAAATGTTTATAGTAATAAAATGACATATAAGTCCACTTAGGAGGATATTTGGTAGATGTGTACATTCTTACATATGCATATGTAAATTTATTTGCTAGTAATATGCAATATTCTTACATATATGTATGAAGATGTACGTGTTATGGACAAAGAGGATGTGTAACTATAATATATGACACTTTCTCACATAAGTTAATATATTGAGAGGTATTAGAGGAAGATGGGGTTCTATTTCAAAAACAAAGGATTGTTCCTCTGCACTTTTATATGTACAAGCACAGGACCAAGACAGCAACCCCATTATATTGTTTTCATATTTGAACGAAAATATACTATATATGCTTTCTACATCTACAGTAAATAAACAAATGCACATAGATATATATGCAAATAAAACATTCTTGCATGAATATTATTCCAATTGTAAACAGCTATACATACAGCTATATATATTGTATTTGCAATTACGAATTTGCATTATCGAATGACAAAAAAATAAAAATATCTTTTTAAGGAAAAATTATAAATCGTTTAATAGATATTTTAGGATTTATATATAATTTGACATGCAAGAAAAATTATACAAAATATGTTAGACTTTATTATCTATTTTATTTTATTTTATCTATTTTATATTACCATTCTAATCAAATTATTAAATTATTTTCTTACATTGCTTGCGATATCATTTTTTAAGAATGTAATTCTACTTGAGTTTTGGCTATCAAATAGTTATGAACATTTAAATTAATCTCTGAATAATTTAGCGTGTACATTTTTGTTGCATAAGATATTAAAAGATGTAAGTACATGAAATATGTAATATTAAATTAATTGATTCATTATTAAAGAACGAAAAAATTATTCATTTTTCGTTTCCGCTTTATAAGATCCTGATTCAAAAAATTATTTATATAACTATGTGTGTCACATCATTTTTATACTGTTACAAATATTATTTAAAATTCAAATCTAATCTGACAATAAATAATGATTGTTATAAATTATAAAGCGTAAGTTTCATTTCGTATTGTAAACTCGACTTAAGCTTATACTTCATGCCTAGTGATTTTGTAACTGCAATGATGCATACTTATATATCAGATATATATCTGTAAACATTGTTTACCGCCAAAACTCAGTATGATCGTGCCAATAAAAAAGTATTATTTATCACTTGAATAATATTAAGATATTAATGAATTTTATTTCGTAAATGAAAAGTATTACTTTTTTTATTTTGTAGAGATGGAGAATTTGAAGAATGGGCAATTATTGAATTGCAAGGTGATTTGAAATTTAATTCCACGAATATTACAAATGTATATATTGGAGATTTACACTTTACAAAATCTGGTACACCTATACTTATAATTGGCATTCATGTATTACACGGAAAAGAAGTGGTACTTCCAAAACCATTTGCAGTTTTAGTGAAAAAAAAGAATGAAGTTAATACAACCAATATTTTTGAAAGACAAACGGAATACATTATTAAAGCACTTATAAAAAGAAAAATAATTTTTAGATCCAGACCTAAACCTATTGTAACAAATGTTCCAAAATTTAATTAAGTATATGTAAAAATATTATACCTTGATATTGTAATTTTATGTTATAATGTACTATCAAAACTAATTATGATGTAAATATGAATATATTGTTATTGATAAATAAATTTCCATGACTTTAAAAAACATGATTTTATTATTATTTTAATTTTATTTAAAAATAAAAAGTGTTATCTTTAAATCTATAAATATGAAATTTAATCCTTCATTTCTCCTTCTTCATCTTCCTCTTCCACACCTCTTATGTACATTACATTGTTACATCTGATTAAAACTTCACCAAGATTGCCAGTACAATTTCCATCTATATGTTCCTCTGTATTAGCTAATTGTAAATTCATGTATCCATCAACAGAGACAAGATAACCTTTATATTCATGGCCCCATTTGAGTTTTACCATAACTGGTTTACCAGTTAAACCATTTAAAAATGGTTTTGGATTTATTGGCATTGTTGCAGCCATTGTGTATTATTTTTTTTCTGTAAAAATACATTACATAGTCTATATTATTATAAATATTTAAAATAGTTCAAATATGAAAATATATAATTAAAATACAAATATAATAAGTAACAATTAATTACAAAAAAATGAAATTAAATGAAATTATTTAACAAATTATCAATTAATTGTATTAATATACTGAGGTTAATTTTATATACATATATAAACATTAGGAATACATTAAAAATTTGTAATTTATATGTCACGCAATTGCAAAATCATTGTTATCTTTGACAAAAGTTCTGTACTTACATATTTCAAAGATGATAAAAGAAAAACACTTTAAATTTTCTCAGTTTGATGAAAACAAGACGCTTTAGCATGAATCACTTAGGTTAGAAATTGCTATCGCCACGACGCGACACATCGCATGCTCTAACTCGTCATATGACGATTATGCTATCGTTATTATAACATAACCTAAACTTGTCAAAACGTCTAACGCAATTTTTCGAGTCAAAAGATACAGCAATAGTTTTTCAGTTATTTATATAAATTCATATACATTTTACACAATATTAAAAGAATTTATTAATAAAGTTATAAGTTATAAAATATATAATTTATTTTCAGTAAAAAATTTGTGTCTCCCACTAGAATTACATTTTAAAAATGAATATTTTACCGAAGAAAAGGTATAATTGAAAATAATTTATATAGTATTGTCAATATTATTTGTATTTATATATTATTCATGTATTATTTATTATTTATTTATACATTAATTTATATTATATACATTATTTATTATATATAGATTGATAAAAATATAAAAATATAATTATAATAAATTTTTTAGGTGGCATGTACGTACTAAGGAAAATATAGCACGTGTGCGACGGGATGAAGCAAAAGCTGCAGAAGAAGAAAAACTTAAACAAGAACGAATTCAAAAAGCGGTACATATGAAGATAAGATTAAAAAACTTATTCACTGATTATTTAAACAATAAATGAACAACAAATTTTAAATATTTATTTCTTTAGGAAACTGAAGCAAGAATTAATCTTTTGAGAGAAAAAGCCAGATCAAAATATGATGGACGAACAGAAGTATTAAAAAGTGAAGCGGATGTTAGTTCTTCGAAATGGGATCATGTAAATTTTTTTGCTGAACTTGAACAAGGGAAACTTGATTATAACAAACCTAATGCAGAACATGAAAAGGAGAAGAAAGAAGAAAAAGAAAAGTATGAGAAGCAGATTGGCTATCTTTCATACCTTGGACAAGACACTAATGAAGCAACAGGTAAGAAAAGTTGGTATGAAGAATTACCTGAAAGATTGAGAGACATAGAAAAGGATGTAGAAGTACAAGTTAAAAAGAAAATATTAAATGATCCCATTCAAGATGTAAAAAAGTATTTAAATATGATGGGATCTGGCTCCATTGAAAACTCTTTAAAAATTAAAACAGAATCTGTTAAAAGAAAAGAAGATGATTTGGATGAAAGTAATTCAGATTATAAAAGATTTTTGAAAAAACACAAACACAAGAAATCTAAAAAACATAAAAGAGAGCGCCATAGAAGTAAAGAAAGAAAAAATATAGAAAGACCAAATATAGAAAAATTAAGAGCAGAGAGATTGTTGAGAGAACAAAGTGAAAAATTAAGAACAGAAGCTTTATTGGCTAAATTGAGAGGAGATCCAGTTCCAACAGTAGCTCCAGAAACTCCTTCAAAATCTACTATCAAACAAAAATATAATTCGCAATTCTTTCCTGAAATTGCTAGGCAAAATGCTGAAAGAACCCCTACTGTATATCCAGCGAAAGAAATATAAAAAGTCAATAGGGGTTTTATTTTAAAATATAGTGTGTGTGTATATATATATATATATATATATATATATATATATATATATATTTGAATAGTGTTGTAGATTACATACATCTAATTACTAGTATTAATGTAAATGAATTGTTAAATATAGTATAATAAAAAATGCATATATATTTTTAAGACTATATTATTTTATAGAGTGCAATAAAATATAAGTAAAAAAAGGAAAAATGATTTTTTAGTTATTGTTAAATCAACTATCTTTCGTAAATTTACTATATGCTAAATTTCGCGGTATCACGTGATGCAAAATGGTGGAATATCACGGATCTCATGGATAATGTATTAAAATTTGACATTTATGTCATTTTTTCAGTATTCTTGTTCATCACTTGACTTAAATTCTTTATTCGTAAGTAATATTCTTTCCGTTTGTACATATTAAACATTTCCATTTGAAGTCCCATTTGAAATCTCATTTGAAACCAGACGCATAGTTCGCGCGAGTTACTTTCGCGTAACATGATTTTCGAATTTGAACAGCTGTGAATGTGCTTAATTACGGAGAGATGATAATTTGTAAAAGTTTTTATTTTACGTCAATAAAATATAACAGCTTAACTTCAATTGTTGCTAGAAAAATTACATTTTTAAGTCATGTTACTAATCGACCTTAAGATAACCTCTTTTCTAATTTATACAAATATCGGCACTTCACAACATAATTGTAAATAATTCATTTATTTCTTTTACTTCAAATATAATGACACGTACGTTTAGAGTAATTTATAAAATTTTATATTAAAAAGGTAATGTATAATTCAAGTAAACAAGTTGAATATTATATTACTAAATAAATTGTGCTTTTTATTTTATTGCGTTTTTTAATTTAATGTATTTTGACGTTTTATGTGCAAAAGTATCAATGTATTATTAGTTATACATATTAGTTAAATTTCATTTTATAAATTATGTTTAAGGTTTTTGTATAATAAGTGTAAATAGATATTTACCTTTTTATCTACAAATGTTAATATTTATATGTATTTATATTACAGGGAAAATGTTACTATTAATTTAAATATATCAAGCATTTTATAACAGTATGATTTAATTAAATATCATCATCATGAATGAGGAAAGAAGTATTGAAGATTCTTCATATCTAAGCTACGAAATAAATGGCACTAGATATATTTTACAAACTATATCAGATCCAACTATAGACATAACAAAAACTGCATCAACTAATCAAGAACAAAATACAATTAATATTATAGATGAACCGCATGTAGAAAAAGAGGATGAATCAATTTCTTTAATTTGCTTAGATGGTCAGGTTTATGCATTTCAGAATGGAGAACTACAAGAATTAGATTTTAGTCAAGTAACAGATGAAAATGAATCACAAGAAAAAACAGTGCTGCTGTCTAAAGAAGATGATAATTGTGAACCGCAATATATTACTAATGAAGGATTAGTAATTGGAAATATTGATCAACATTCTCAAGAACAATATGAAATTATCACTGATCAAAATGAAAAGAATTTTATAGTAGAAAAGCATAATGTAAATGCTAATGATTTTGTAGAAGTTGTAACAGCATTCAAATGTAAAATATGTACTTATACTACGCAAGACAAGACACAATTATTGCAGCATTTTCAGAAAACACATGTAAATCCTAAAGTAGATATAGAGGTGAGTTACAAAATCAATTACTTCTCTAATGAATATTTATGTTGACAATGCATTTTCCAGATAAAAGAAGAATTTAAGAATACAGATGAAGTAAAATTGTTGTACATGTGTGGAGAATGTTCTAATTGCTTTCCTTCTATTGAAGATTGTAAAGAACATATGATAAATGTAATTGCTTGGTCTGTTGTAAAAAAATTAAGCCATTACTATTAAAGATATTATATATTAATACTTTTTATTTTAGGATCATCAATTAACAGATACAGGAGCCAATAAAGGTGGTAAAGAAAATATAACTGATGATTCAAAAGACTCTGGATTATTAGAGTGTATAGGACAGAGTGTTGAAAATAATGATATAAAACGTCAAGTTAAGATTCAAAAACCTTTGAATTCTGAATATATGCTCAATAAAAAAATGATTGAATTAATGGAAAGAAACATAAAGTATGTTATTAAACTTTTAAAAATATATATTTTACTTACTTATTAAATTGTACATTTTGTTAGGTGTTCATATCGAGGATGTCCCTATAAATTTTCTACAGAGGAAACAATGCAGCAACATGCACTTTGTCATACAGAATCACAAAATGGAATGGCATTTAAATGTACCGTTTGCCGTGATACGAAATTTACCAAATGGAGGCAGTGTAGCTTACATTTATGGAAAAAGCATCAAATTGGTAAATACATAATATCAGTAGTATCAGTTTTATTTACACAATAAAATATTAAAACGTATTTTTATACACTCTTAAAGATATAGGTTTATTTACTTGTAAAATATGTAAAGCATATAAAAGTGCAACAATGGTGAAACTTTTAACTCATATGCGTGTGCATAGTGAGACTCGCGAGTATGAATGTTCAGAATGTGGTAAATGTTTTAAACAAGCCAGTCAGTTACGTAATCATAGAGTGATGCATTTGGATCGCAAAACATTGGAAGTGACGCGGTGGTATACTTCAAAAAAATGTGATATGTGTGGAAAAACTTATGCAAATTCCAAATGTTTAAAAAGTCATATTCAAGCAGTGCATTCAAAGTTACGACCATATGTTTGTAATGTTTGCGGGCATTCTAGCGCTAGAAAAGCAATGTTACAAATGCATTTACGGCAACATACTGGTGATAAACCCTTTAGTTGTGAACTTTGCGAGTATAAAACTGGAGATCACAATACATTACGACGTCACATTATGCAACATACAGGTATGCATGAACAAGAAATGTAATATAATACAAGAATGTATTAAAAAATAATGTATTACAAAAATTACATATGTAAATAATATTTTCAGGGTTTAGACCTTATAAATGCCCTCACTGTTCTTACACTGCAATACAAAGTAGTAGTTATAAAAATCATTTAAAATCTAGACATCCTTTACTGTCTGGTTTATTTACGTGTGACCTATGCCCTTTTAAAACTGTTAAAAATCAAAGTTATATACAACACGTAAGAGACCATGAAAAAGGATTGATCAAAGCAAATATGCAAAAGAAAGGTATTTTTCAATTTTTTGTTAAAATGTATATAATTGTTAATGTAAAATTGTATACTTTTTCAGATAACGAAAATGTTGAAGTTTTCCCTGGTAACATTGCAGCGGCACAATTAATTTATAGTTGCTTGGGTGCCTTTTCAAAAGTGGGCGATACTTTAGAAGCAAATTTGATGTCTTCCTCAACGTCTGCAGACGGTACGTCACAAACTATAACGATACAGATACCATCGAAGCATCTTGAAGGTTCACTGCCAACAAGAGAAAATAGAACTAAAAATAACTCATCAATTGAACAAGAAGATGAAGAAACAATGCATTGTTTTTTAAAAATTCCAAGAGAAGAAGAAGAAAGTATAGATACTGGTGGTATAACTATACCTGCTGAACCTGAGGAATCAGGGGCAACAACTATTAATGTTGATACGTGAAATATAGAACGTTAAGTTACTAATTGAAATATTTCTATACTTGGAAACAATTAGAAATTTATACTTCAAAACTAAATGAAGAAATGCTAGTCACGCGTTACTTAGAATACTATGAATTAACTTGTTTAACAGAACACTAGAATTAATATATTAATTTTTAAAATCCTAATTGTGATACTATTTTTGGAATTGTATATTATATCAGCAAAAACAAATTTAACGAAAAACAAATGTTCTTGTTTAAAAAAATTTTATACATCATTTTGAAAAGAGCAATGCATATTTAATTTAATGGATTCTCTGTTCATAGTTGTTCAAAAATTTTATTTTATTCGAAAAAAAAGATTTTATAGTTAAAAGAAAGTACTTTTGAGATATTTTTATTTTAAATTTTACTAAGGATATAATTTATTATATATGAAAAAACACATTTAAGATTTTGAATGTATTTATTGATAATTAATAGGAAATTAGTAGAAGTGTACATAAAAATTGTAAAATAATAATCTGGAAGCCGTTGTAAAATGTAAATTACAATATCTCATATGGATTACAATATGATTAAAATAATATTTTACATGATGAACTAAAGAGAAATATTTTAATGTTTTTGACTTAATTATTCATCAGGTAAAAATAATACTTATTGCTATGGAAGATTGAGTTTAAAATCTTTTTAAGAGATTTCACATATTAATTATTGAACTTCACAAATATGTCCCCACAAATTGAAATTCCGGTATCAATTTGCTTAAGTGTGAGATTTATGAAAATAGTAACTGATGGACATATTATTTTAGAAAAGTTTAATAGGAAGTTTTAAAATATATTAGTAAATTATAGTATATAACAAAGTTGTCTTTTATATAAAAAATCATGAAATGAAATAAAAAATATTGCTTTTCAGGATAACTTAAGCAAATTGATACAGATTATTATTTACAGCTAATTATTCATAAAATGTGAGAAGTTCCTTTTTTTAAGCAACTGATGTGGATCTTCTCATAAATTACACATCATATCACAACTAACAGTCCCTGGGCAGTTCGCCATAATAAGCTGTTAAAGCTATTAACTTTCTGTCGAGAAAATTCTGTTCCACTTCTACACCACCACCTACTCCAGCTAATATGGCAAGCTGTAAATTTATATAAAAATATAAAGCAACTGATGCATAATATTGTAAAATAACATAGGTAGAATATTCAAATTTTTTTAATCTTCTTGAATTATAAAAATTTACCTGCATAGTATCTACATTTCTAGGTAGAAAGTAGGCCACATGATCTGTGATTTTTCTTGCTATATTAAATAATTTTACTCCACCAATGGGTTGCATAATGTTATTGAGATCAAAAGTTTCATTCTTGGCATATTCAGGTCCTCCCCATGGAGGACTTAGAAACACAACATCTGCGATTAATTTCGATGCGAGTTGAAGGAAGTCTCCAACAATGAATTCTATTCTGTCATCAACACCATAGACTCGAGCATTATTTCGAGCAAGTTCAATTTTAACTGGATCTATATCTATTGCGAAAACTGTAAAAATGAAAATAATTAAATTTTTATACTAACTTATATACAGTGAACACACCTTTTTCACATGTAAAAGCAAATTGAATAGCATTTCCTCCTGCACCACAAAATGCATCGATTATGGTATCACATTTGCATCTTTGGGCTATATGTTCGGCAATTTTTTCTGGTGTCACGGAAAACCAACTCTCTATAAAAAGAATAATTATAAAATTTAAAAATTGATAAATTCATTATTGAATGATTTGTAAGATATTTTACTCTTAGTCTTTTAAAAGCCATAAATCGTATAAATATTATCAAAGAACATACCACGATCTAATTTAATGCCTTGATCAAACTTGCTAAATAGGCGATACCTTTTTAACCAATATTTCATTAAAGTCTTATCATTGTCTATCTCTACTGGAAGGCTTATATTTTTTTTAAATTGCTTCCTTCGTTTCTTCTTTTGCGTCTTCTTTATGCTGTCTTCGTCTGATAATTTCACATTTTGTATTTCGTTGTTACTATAGTTTTCATCTACATCCATATTGACATTTAATGAATCGAACTTCTTGTTATCTTGTTCAGGAAGTTGATCTTCTGATACACATTTTGTGGTATCACTCGTTTCATATTGATCAAAACATACATTATCATTTTCAACATTTTGGAAAACATCGTCCTGATTATCAAATACATTAACAGTATCGTGAACATCGTCAAATTGTTTTTTATCTGCTCCTGAATCTATTGAACTTGTGCTTGGTTTACTAAATACAAATCGCTTTGTTTGCAATTTTGTTTTAAGGCTACGATCACATTCGTCATCAGAACTTGAAGTCAATTGTGCTGAGTAGGAACCTTTTTCAGAGGCTTGTAATTCTGTTTTCACCGATGGCAATACAGGACAATAGGATAAGTAATGTTTTACCTGTAAAACAAAAAGCAAAAAATAAAACAGCTATATATCTCTGTTTTATTTGAAAAAATATAATTTACTTTGTCTATAGTGTTAGTAATTTCCACTCCATTATCATCAAAGTATATATGTTTATTTGCGGGCTTGGATCTATAATATTTCATTTTTAATTGTCTATTTTGTAATCTAATATTCTTTTTTCTGTATACTACTTCTCCTTGAAAATTTGATTGTTCGTAATTTTCATTGAAAGTATATCCCATCAATGAAAATGCTTTTTTTACTGATTCCAGACCTTCTTCTGTATCGTCATAATCAGCCTCGTGACTAAAATAAAATATATTATACGTAAATAGCATTTATTTACATAATTTATTTAAATAACATTTGTTTAATAGATAAATAAATAAATAAATATAATACTGCACCTTCGTTTTAATGTTATAGGTTTATCTTCATTGGGTTCATCTCCATCTCCATCAGAATATTTTCGTTGAATACTATTGTTACCAGTAGTAATAATTGCATTTCCATTTTGTGTAGCTAAATTCTGATCATTACATTCAACTTCTTTTGAACATTCCATTTCATTAGCTTTTTCATCTTTATCTGCAACAGTTTCATTGTCCTCTGAATTCATTGTTAAATTTTGGATGAGCATTCCTACTGATTCCATAATCAATCGTTTTTTTTTCGTTTTGTCTTTCTTAGAATAAGAAAAATTTTTATTAGATATATTTTTACTTTCAGAAGTGTTCATTTTATTACACATATCTGTTTCCCTTTGTGTAAAATCTTGGTCTATACTTTCATCACTTCCTTCCTCTTGCATATCTATATCGTTATGTTCCTGGCTACAATTTTGATTAATAATTTCAGATTGCTCCCTTTTATATTTTTCTACAAATAGTTTATAATGATCTTGGTATTCTATTTGGAAATTTTCTTTCCATAAATGCTGCCAGTATTTATCAGTATCTTCTGGAGTGTATTCTTGATCATTATCTTGATCAGAACTGGTATTTGTTATATTGCTTTCGATAGAACTAGTTACAGAACTGATGAGACTAGATGAATTTGTAGAAATAGAGTCACAACTAGAACTAGTAAGGGTCATCTTTGTGACATTTGTCATAGAATCTGATGTTGCATTTGTTTTTGCTATTGACTCGTTGATAGAATCGCACCTTATTAAAAGTCTTTCATCTTCTGCATTAGATTGTTGATTATAATTTTCTTCCATACTAAAAGGACTCAATGGATTCCAGCCATCTCCAGTTTCTGGTGAAACTTCAAAATTTGTGAATTTTTTCCTATTATCTTCCGCATCTCTGTCACTTATTTTCTGTTTACTTACGTCATCAAACGAAAAATTAATACTACATGTGTCTTTTGTTTTTATTTCGTTATCGCTAACATTATTACTTTTACTAAATATTCCTTCAAAATTTGAGCGATCAAGTTCACAATTTCTGTGCGCTTGATTAGGAAAACATGTATTTTGCTCTGAGAATTTTTCAATAGTTTCTTTCATTTCCGATTTCTCATCTCCTATTAAATAAACATTTTGTTGCAAATATTCCGGATTTATATAATCTGCGTATTTTCTGATCCAACTTGTCCAAATTATACGTTCACCATTTTCCGACCAATATCTTTCCCATGATATATCCATTATACTCTTAGTTTTACAATACATAGAATAATATGGATAATCGCTCGAGCTATGGTCACAATTATGCCTAAGTGTGACATCTTCCCTATAAGTTTGTGTATCACTTAAGGAAACATTTTTAAATATATTATGTATCTCAAAATCTTTATCTTCTAAAATACATAATGGATTTTCTACATGAAATTCCTTTTTATTACAAATGGATGGATCATAACTTAAAACTTCAGTGCTATCTGTAAGATGATCTGATGAGTGAATGTCTATTATTTTAGATTCAAATTCTGTATCTTTATCTTCTTGGTGCTGTGCAAGTACATTCACTTTGTCAAATTCATCTTCCAGTTCAGTCTCTGTTGTTTGGAAAGTCTTTGGAAAGTCATAAGATGCCAATAGGTTTTGTATACTTTTAGCCTCATGTTGATCATGATATTCTGACAGGTCTGCACCTGAATCGGACTGGTGCAGGCCCAGCTTCTGGGTGAGGGAATGTACAGTAGGACGATGAGCCGAATCACGAACAGAGTCATGTTCATCTGTGGAATAATTGTTGTCTGTGTGTGATGCACTGCAGTAACAGCTCACTGGTTCTTCCTAATTTTAAGGAAGGAAAGATATGCTTTTGTTCAAATATTATTTAATACAGAGGTTTAATACATAGACCAATGTTACCACATTAACTGAAAATAACCAATAGAAGACAAAGAAACAAACTTACATCGTGTTTCTCAATGGATTGTGCTTCTATAATGGATCTTTTATGAAGATCTAACATTTCTCCAACACAGTCACGCTCAACATTTTCATCTTCACTAGCATCCTCTAGAGCAAGGACAGTATAAACTTCTGGGTTCCTAAAAATAAACAAAAATTTATTCCAGAAAAATCACACAATTCGATATAATATAATATTTCAATTCTTCGTAATTAGAAATTAATAGTAATATCCACGTGGTACACAAGGTGTTTATTTTCGATATTTCGCTGAACTAAATGAAAGGACAAAGGAATATTTTCAACGATTGTTAACTTTCGCACTGTTCTACGTTTTAAGAAAAATGCGTTATCACATTCCTACTGTATAACAAAGAAAATTAATTTTTAATTTCAATTTCAAAGAAAATACACTATGTGACCTAGCTCACACTCAAGTGGGTGTCAAGGTTAGGTCATGTGTCACACCACTGATCGATAAACGAGTATTCCATTTCTAAGATTTGAAAAATGCATAAAAACGGTAAAGGTACGAGAATACGGGAATATGGGAAATTGCGACGTCCGATGGTATAAATGAGTCGTATTGTTGCAGATGTATTTACCGAATAAATACTCTGCTACAAAGACAATAAATGTAATGATCAGGGTCAGAAGATTCTGCTTGTTCTGTGATATATACTTCGGCTAAAGGTTCCCAAAAGTGGTCACTCATACCGAAAGAAGTGTTTAATTGACTACTTGCTCGTGAATCGTCACAACACCCACATGTCTCACGCTCAAATTTTTACAACTCCCCCCGTGCAAAAACAATCCGCCATTTCTTGCACAGCACACCATCGTGAAGTTGCTCCTGATTACCATCATATTTTAATGAACAATCGATAAATCCAATCTCTGGTCAAGTTTAACTTGATTTTGATTAACATTCATCGAGTAACGGTACGATCGCAATTTAAAAGTACGTCATAATTATAGTGCTTCTTATTCTAATCGTTGAAGACATTTTTTGAACAATCTAACATGGACGAGAAACGTAAACGACATGTGTATGTAAATCATATGCATAGAAATTTATGTCATTTTGCAATCAGTCAGATAAAAATTCATACTCAAAACTATATGTGACATTTATCGTATACATTTCCAATTATGTTTACGAATTATTTTAATTCATATTTCGAATCTGACTGGTGAAAAAGTCAATATCATTGGACCGAGAGTTTCGATCTGTTAAATAGAATTAAAAAAATCTCTTAGGACCTAATTAGGAAGATGCAATTACAAAAAATCATAAGTTAATCCTTTTAATTGATCTTTTTCGTAAGTGAAAATTTGATCGATTTATAGATAATAAAATATTAGCGTCACATAACGGCGAAGTATAATTAAACGTCGATAAAAGAGAGACCGAGATAGGTTCTGCTATCTACTATGGATAATGTTATTTTTGTAGTTTCAGCTCATTTGGTAGCTGCTTTATCGACGGTTAATTCTAATACTCTGCCGCTAGATAGCAACAGTATTAATGTCTATGTAGCGACCTTTTTTGTAGTAATTATGATGATAATTTATATTTATATCACAATACTACATCTATAAATCAATTAATTTTTTATCATTGACTAAAAATAGGATAATCACAAATAAGAAAAGGTATAGATCGTTATATATATATATATATATATATATATATATATATATATATATATATATATATATATATATATATATATATTACGCGAAGCACTTATTCAAATAATATTTAATTTCTCATAACTAAATGTTAAACTCGGATTAAAATTATACTTTGAAATATATATATGCAGAGTGCAAATTAATCGCAAAAGGAAGTGTTTTATGTTTTTGTATTTGTTTCAAACTAAGAAAACGATATACAACGATGACAGCAGCTGTTTCCGTCGCCGCTTTATCCTCGATTAGTTCAATCGTTTCATCGCTATATGATGCTAATGTTCATAAATTGATGAAATTTTCATTTGAAAGAAAAAAAGAAAAAAATAAAGAATGAAAAGGAACTTTCGCGATTGCGATCTTTTAAATTACATTCTAAGCTTTCTCTCTATATTCCTTTCATTCTGCAAAATAAGTTTTTAAATTTTTAAATTTTATTACGTCGAAGTATATTTCATCATGGTGAATGAACGTTAGAGGTGGACAAATTTTTAGTTCGCGTCGGAGATTTCAAACTGGACGCAACACGTGTCTTTTTCGCCGTATATGAAACCTCTTATAGTAGTTATATCGTGCTAATCGTAAAAGAATCACCTTCGAGCTCAACGCGTTTTTAAAATATCCGCGCAAGTAGAGTCCGCGCGCGCAGGAAAAAAAGGAGGGAAATTCAAACGGATCCAACTGGGGAAGACCCGACAAATAGCGCTACCTGGCGGAATGCTGCGAAATAAGGATTCTGCGAACGGAGCAATGGCGTAGGCGGCGATCCATGTGATAAATTAATTTTTATAGCTTCGTGGGTGGCGGCTGTTTCTATTGGTTGCTGATCGGGCACCTCCCACTTGGAACGACGTTGCCTTCTCCTGGTTTATTCCATTCAGCTGTAATACCGTGATATACCAATGCATTTGTCTCGTTTCGAATGAGCTGGAGGAATCGGGGGGGAAGGAGGGCGACGGGGGGAACAGCGCAACGTCGAGTGCAATTGAAATAGATATTCGCGGATGTTGCTCGAACGATCCTCTCTCGACGAGAATCGCGCATCTCTAGAACGCGACGCGAGATTTTTATCGGGCGGATCACCGTCTTCAAAGAGGATTCGATGTTAACTACGCATTACATGTGATCATTCGTGTTTTACGACGATAATCGTAGGCTCCATGACGCGTTTACGTAAGGATCAATACGATTTTTTCTTTCGCCGCGCGAATCACCCGATGAATCGCTCGAACTTTAATCGCTATTGTTCGATCGTCAGTCAATCTGTTTCTTTTTTTTTTTTCCTCGGACGCAATTATTTCTCGTCGAAGAAACAATAATCAAATCCTAACGATCGTCCATCGTTCGCAGAATGATTGCATGATCGGATCGAGTTTGGAGTCGAGCGTAGCGTCGTAAGTTGGCGAAAAGAATTTTGCCAATTGGATATAGTTTTAGCTAGTTTCCTAGCTTAGAGATTTTTTGATCAAAATTCGAGGCAGACAGAGGCAATTATTATTGATATATTTGAAATATTAATTTCCGAGTAGTAGCAGTAGAAGTAAAATAGAATTGAAATTATTACTTTCGTGTTGTATAGTCAAGGGATATAAGTAAAGCTATAAGTGCGCAACGTTACCAACCCCGCATTGAAATCACCGCGCACCTTCTTGTGCGGGCGTCGAAGTCTCTTCCTTATTTCGCGCTGCGCACATTACAAATTACACTAAAATTATTAAGACAACGTTAGACACAAAATTTTTGAAGTCTGAAATTGTGTTATATGGAATTATTATTTATTTGACCGGTAATCCGGAAAATGTGATGAAACGAAGCTTTGCAAAACTGTAGTAACATATTATATGGAATTTCCTATGAAATCATATATAATTTATAATGTTTTATTAAAAAATAGAAAACACAAGTTTGATTATTCAATACCATAGGTATCATAAGTTATATAATTGGCATTCATAACTAAAAATCTACGTAGAGTCAGGAAAATGATCTCAACTAATAAATTATCTTTCGTATAAGACGATGATACTTTCTTCGATTATATTTACGGGGAGAAATGACTGTCATAGTTGGGCTGATAGGCGATTTTATAGCGATCGCGCTTTTCCGCACGTGTTCTGCGCTCCGAGCGTGGGGAAATCACGTCATCGAACGAATGGCTCGTTAAATATAGATGCTTATCTCTCGATACTCGGACAAGTCCCGGGTAAAGGTAGTCTAGCTAGGCTATAGGTTTATGGACCGTCGATTTTGTTATTAAAGATTAGTTCTCGCCACGTGGAAAGTTCATAACTTTGAAACGCTCGTACGAGCGAGCATTGAATTTTCGATTGCCGGAGTATCGATTCAGAGAATGCAGGGAATGCAAAATGGTGAAAATTGGGCCGCGAGAAAAGTTTTGTGTGAATTTTGAAAAAAAAAAAAAACTGCGCAACTCGATAATTAAAAAGAGGATTACGAATCATGTAAAAAAGCATCAGAATTGGTCACAACATATGCAAAAGATCGCAAGCTTTCTCTCTGATTTGAGATTGATTCCGCGCGGTTGAAGATCGACAAGTTTGCGAGATCAGGAATAGATCGTGGAAAAATAAACCTTACGAATGACAGAACGTAACGCAAGATGAGAAAGAGAATTGCGCAGAATTTAGAAAGGAGGGAGAAGAATCAGAGAACGTAACAGAAAGACCAAGAAGAGACAGTAAGAACTGTCGGAAGAGAAAAGAAACGGAATTACACCACACAAAATCTCGACAACTAGAAAAAGAAAGAACGAGGAACAGCAAAGAACACGACGAAGAATAAAAAGAGACGCTAAAAGGAAGAGGAGGAGGCTGTGAAAAAGCATCAGAGGAAGAGGAAGACGAGGACAAAGAAGAAGAACACGAAGAAGAAGAAGAAGAAGAAGAGGAGCAAGAGCATCGAGAAGGAGAAGGTGCAGCTGTGTGGTGGGAGGAGAGAGAACGAGAGAAGGCCGCGGTAGTCTTTCTCGGTCGACTAGGTAAGATAAGGACGAGGCGGACAAACGGACTGACGAAGGTGGCCAAGGTAGGGGATATTCAGTCTCGCGGCCACGTGCTACACGAGCGCACGCCCCGAGCCGGCCGGTGGTCCAGCCACGACTCCGTCCTCTTCTTCTTCGTCCCGTTTTGTCCCACGCTTTCTCCTTCTTCCCTCATTCCATTCTTCTTTTCGTACAACACCTCTCGACATCACCACCGTGTGCCTCTCCCTCTTTCTCTCTCTCTCTCTCTCTCTCTCTCTTTTCGTCACGTTTCCACTTTATTCTCCATTTCTCTCTCCGTCTCTCCCAGAGTTTTTCTCCCTCGTCTCGTTTTAGTCGACTTTTTTTTCTCGCGTCTCCGTCGCGTACGGACAGTCACCGTCGCTTCCAAGCGTGTTTCGCGTCCGAGAGTCTCGCGTGAGTGTCGCCCGCCAGCGGATTCCCAGTGGACGCGGCTCGAGCGCGCCTCGCGGCCCCGGCTAATCGCGGGAACGCTCGAGCTACCAGCGCCTCGTCAACCTCGCCGACACCTTCGACAGTCACAATTTCGTTTCGTCCTCGTTGCTTCCATCCGCAAGTACCGAGAGTTCGTAGCTCCGAGAGATGTACTGAAGTTTGGTGAACGCGAGTGTGTGTGTGTGTGTGTGTGTGTGTGTGTGTGTGTATAAATACGATACGAAGGATACGAAGCTTCGATGGCAGCTGCGGAGATGATCGGACGGTACGGTGTCGTGCGAGCAGACACACGGCCAACTGTTAATTTCGTACTCTAACACGACGCGCTGCTGGAAGAACAAAGTCTTGTGACAGGAGAATACAGGAGAATACACCAGTGAAACTCTTCGCTCGTTGTCCCGTTAGCCGATGGTACGTGCAATCAACTCGTTCGATGATCGTGAAACGAAAGTTTGTCGTCGATGGGCTCGCGAAGGATTTGAGCAGGAAGAATATGTGGCCGAATATCGAGTACTGGTCGATATTCGGCGATCCGTGGTGATTGTGATCGCTTCGAGACATCGAGTTGTGCGCCGAGAGGCATGTCTGACCACCAAGGGGAGATTCTACTTGTCGCGCGAACCGAGTATTGACGTGCGTGTGTCCAAGGAACATCGGACGTTCTTCGTCCAGCTGTGTACGAACTAGTGAACTTTAGAGAATAGTGCTGTCTTCTACACGCCAGTTCGGCTTCCACGCGAGTTTTTATTTCTCTTTTAAATTCCTTCACTTCTGTCTACGTTTGACATGGCGTTTTTTGTTCTCGTTCATTTTTAGCGACTTACAGTAAGTTGAATGATATCAAATTTGATCTGTAACTTCGACTGAAATAATCCTAGCTTGCTCTTCGTCGATCTCTCGATCAGGGAATCGAGTTTAATCGAGCCAGCTAGTCTGTGGCTAGTACGGAAGATCGATTCGGTCCTCTTTCTCTCTCTCTCTCTTTCTCTCTCTGTTGCTGCTTGCTCGCTCGATTGGGCGGCGTCGACGATTAATTTGTCACGGGCACAACAATTTCAACCGTTTGCAGTCGGTACCATGATATCCGTGTGACGTGCCGCTGACAACCGGTTCATTAAAGTTGCAGCCGCCTCGTCACTCATTGACTGCCACAGGCTGGCAGTAATCGTGACGCCTGCGACAGAAAAAACAGAAAAAAAGAAAGAACAAAGAGGAGGACGAAAAAAAATATGACAGAAAAAAATAAAAGAAGATGATGAGAGAGTGAAGAAAAAGAGAAGTGTGTGTGTGTGTGTGTGTGTGAGAGAGAGAGAGAGGGGGAGAGAGAGCGATACCTTTGACGCGAGTGTTTCACCTTTCAATCATTATTATTACCAACACCGATGCCTCAAAGGATGGTCAGCCAGGGTGAAAAAAAAAAAAAGTGACGGACAATTAGGACGTTAACGACGCATGACAGCCTGGGAAAGTCGAGAAAAAACTGCACGAACCGCACGTGCGTCAGATAAAATTATTCTTAAGCGCGTCGCGTTGCGAACGCTTTTTTCCTTCTTGGTTAGGTGGCCTTTGTACATATCTGTCGATCGTTTGGCTATTTTTACACAAGATCGATCGTTCTCTCCCCTTAAGAAAAGCAAAATATTTGATCGTTTGATCGTTAACGTCCTTCGTTAGCGAATTAAGTTATCGGAGAGTTCTTTCTTGAGATGACAAGATTTCAAAGACGTGGAAACACATTCGACTTATTCGGAAGGATATTTCGGATTCCAAAATTTTGCCAGATCGTTTGCAAATCTTCGCTGCTGGAGAAACAAGTACGTTTTTTTTTTTTTAAAGAAGACGTCGAGTCGAGTTTTTGTTAAAAATAACTCAAACGTCGATACAATGTGAAACAAGACGAGTGCAACAGTCCTCCAGTTGAACATTTAAAATGGCCGTAGCCGGAATGGAAAAGTCTCAAAGTTATCACATTTCTGCAAGCAAGGAAACTTGAAATCCAACGTTGTTCCTTTACGGCTCCGAGAGCGTAAAGTGTCGGAGGGTTTGAGTAATCGGAATAGCTCGGCTTGTCGACGGAGACCTGCTCGTTTTTAGTCCCTCTCGGACACGGATTGTGCGATGCTGCTAATCCAGCTTGCCAGGCGGTCTTCTAAAGAGTGACGCGATGTATTACGTTTGCATACACGCGGTAACGCTTGTGCGGGTAAAAGAGCGATTATTTCAAGGACTGCAAACTTGTTGCGCTCGTGGTAACATGGTTGCGAGGGCCTCTCTGTTCTTGCTCCGATCCCAGGGGGGAATCGTTCTTTGAAAAAACAAAAAAAAAAAAAAAATTCGTTAACAAATCGTGCAACGCTCGCGCTCTCGCCTGTGTTCTCTCTGTCTGTCTCTCTCTCTCTCTCTTTCTCTCTCTCTCACGCTTGCTTTTTGTTCCCGTTGCTTTTATGATACAAACGCTTCGCGTTGAACGGGTTCTCAGTTGTGGATGCCTCTTTCGTTAATTTCTGAGCACACGCGCGGATTAGACGCGCGGATTTTCACGTTTGTTCAGCAACGTATTAAAGTCGTACAGATATTAATTAACCCCGTACGATTCAGTCGGTTCGTTATAAAGTTGTACCATGGGTGAGATTTTTCTGATTATACTTGACATTTAAAAACGTGCGTTTAAACTTTACTACTATTATATGACAGATTGTTTTCAGCGTAAGAAAGTGATAGTCGGTAACGTAACAGCGACGGGTATATTAATCTTAATTTAACGAACAGGATTCAGAAAAAGATTCGAGGCACCGTCTGATTATTTGCAACTGTGTGTCGACATTGGAATTTCCAAATCACTTAAATTCGCCTATTCTTTGTTTTTCTAAGTCAACCATTCTTTTCTTATCTGATACGCTTCTACTTTCAACCTACAAACTACTCTTTCTCACCTAATTTTCTGAATTTCTTATTTATTTATATGAATTACCTTAAATTTAGTGACTGTTTCTGTTTCTTTACTGTACTGTCTTTTTCTATTTTCGCTTTTAATAAGATTGGGTATTCCACGCTTTCTAACCTAACCTCCCTTTTTCTGTTTTCTCTATTATTCGCTTACCTTCTACTTCCAACTCTATTTACCTATTTATCTCTCCACTACGGTACCTATTCTATCTTCTTTTGTCTTCGTTTTTGGAATTTATTCCCTTTTATTTACCTTAACTCTCTATTTTTTTCGCATCTCTCATGCAGCACTCTTTACCACACACGCCATCTAACCAAATCCCAAATTCTCCTATTTATAGCTTTCCCTAGAAATTTTACAAACTCACGGACGACGAATTTTCGGAAATAGTCGACGACTTGTGCGATTGAAGTTTCGCTCTTCTCTTTGTCTTACGAATTTCACGAATTTTTACGCCCCAGTCCACTGGAGTGTTCAATCGTGTCTCAGGTTCCAACGATGTTCAAAAAAAANCTAAAACGAGACGAGGGAGAAAAACTCTGGGAGAGACGGAGAGAAAATGGTCTCTTCAAATCGGACAAAGCAAATCCAAGCTGCTGATAATGAACTTCGCGAGGAATCGTCAATTTCGCGTAACAATTTAACGACCGGATCAATTATAGCGCGGAAGAGATCGGGCTGATTGCGAGTCATTTGCCAACAGCTGAACGCCGCCCGAACGGCCGAGTCTCGCCGTCAAACTGATATAATATTACAATTTCCTCTCAGCGAGGCGTGTTTCACGATTGTGGAAATTCATTTCGTCGTGTTATATTTCCCAGCAGTGAGCGGGAAACGGGTTAGGTCTCTACGTCCCGTAGAAACGTTGGATTTATAGGAGTGGAGCAGAGGCGACGATACGCGCGATGTAAACCGGTCTTCCGCGCCGTGATACCGGCCACCTTAATTAATTTGTCATTATTTAAGGAAGACGTCTCGCGATAAAACTCGCCGGCATCGCAGCGTCGCGATCCCCCCGTCGTGTTTGTTACTTAGTTTGATCGGTTCGATATCTTGCAGAGACTGTTCTCTGCGTTGAGATTGATAGAAAATTGAAGAGAGAGAGGAGAGAGAGAGAGAGAGAGAGAGAGAGAGAAAGGAGGAAAATGGAACGTCTCTTCCCGGTCCATGCATCATTCGAATTTTCTTCGTGCATACTTCCTCGATCGAGTCGCGTCGATCACTCACAGCTAAGAATCAATCCTCCAGCGGTTCTGTCGTAATTTATGTTGTCATTTTTGATGACTGAAACATTTTCAGAAATGTTTCAACGTTTTCAAAAGTCTCATCTTATGGTTAATTGAAGCCGCAGCGAGATAAAAAAATTCTATGAAATTTTCGACGATGCGACATGTTTCTGTTTTGCGAACGAGAAGATGAGAATAAAGGGACTACCCGGTCTTGGTTGTCGAATCTTTCGCGACAGTCGACGGCACTTCCGCCTGTAGATTTTTCCCTCAATGGAACGTCTCATCGATGGTTGCAACGTCGATTTAAAACTGGTTTCTTCCCTTGTTTCAGGAAATTTTCAACAAGTTTCCAAAATCTTGGAATATACTTCAGCTTACTGTTAGTATATTCATTTACTATAAAATGAACATCACGACAGATTTATCACAAGTTATCTATTAAAACACCCTCTTTTATCGCATCGCTTCTTCCAATTGTAATCCAATGCTTGAACTCACACTTTCAAAAATCTTATTGCCGATTGAAACCGTAACAGGACTGGAACATCCAGTTCTGAATTCAACGACTAGACAACAATCGTCGAATCCTCCAAAATTCTATCGTTTGACAAATATTCCTTTAGAAAAATCCTCCTGCGGAAAAATCGTCGGAGAAGGAGAGCCGAGTTTGTTCTCGAGTTTGGGATCGATCGAGAAAGGAATCACGTTGATCGGAAACGCGGGGGCCACGCTTACACGCGGACACGGGCTCGGATCGCCGCGCGCGGATGAAATTAATACGTGGCTGGCGCCGTAATTAGCGCTCGTATTTATGCGTCCCTTGCGAGGCGGGCTCCGTTAACATGGTAATGGCGTTACACCGCTGTAAACACGACATGTTATCTCGGCGAGGCTCGCGCAAGAAATGGCAGCCACGGATGGGCTTTCGTTTCGCCGGAAGCACGCCTCCTCCCGTGCAATCCTATCCCGCCGCTTTCGTTTTCGAAAGAACGACGAGCATTTTGCTCGAGCTTTCGGGGGATTTCGCCGATTTCACCATTCTCTTTCAATCATTCATTGAAAGGCTCCTCGCCTTTTTTTTATTTTTCACAGTTGTCGGTGGTACGGACGATCTCGAGACTCTTCTCTCGATATCTCCTTTCTTCATTTTCCCAAGCTGCTTGAATATTACGAATTACAATATTTCTTTCTCGGTAATTTCAAAAGTAGGCGACTAAATAGTTTTTACCTTTTAATAGTAATTTGAACTGCAGTGTTTCTTCTTCGATAATTTCCAAAAAACTGTAAAAACTGGAATGATATCGTCGGTTAATTGGATAACGGTATAAATTCACGCGCGTCAAAAGTATGTACGTGTATTAAGTAACCGTTGAGAAGTTAATTATCACGTTTCCGATTATTATTTGCTCTTTCAATTACTTTCTGCCAAAAAAGAAGTTTCAGCTTCTTGCGAGCAGTCCTCTCGGTGTACAGGCTTTTTACTCACAATCAGTGAGGAATATAGAAATAAAACAGCGGAGCTCATGCACATGCATCGGAAGGGAAAATAGTCGCGTTCAAATTACATTGACAGACACTTGATCGTCAAGTTCAGTTGCATGACTAAAGCTCTGTTTGTCATTGAAAAGAATATCAGAAAATGTTGCAAAAGTCAAAGTCACAGGTTTCCAGCTCAAATTCTTCGCACGGAATTCGTCGATTCCCAAGGAGCCACACAATTTTCTTTCACAAACGACTCGTGACGCAGAAAATCACGCCGCAGATTCAAGAATCGAAAAACACACACACACACTCACATACACACACACACACACCTCTTGCAATCGATTTGAATTAACGAGTCGAATTGCCGGCTGGTGGTCCGTTCCAGTTCACGACGCGGTGTCGACGAAGCTGGAGGAAACGTAGCTGAGGTCCCCCTGAGGTGGTCCACGGCTGCACCGGCCGAGGAGGATAATCGTGAGAATCCACGGTGGCCCAGGAAATTTTCGACAGCGTCGGCGCTTGTAAGACACGCACGAAAATGTTGGGTCGCGACATCGAACACGGAACAGACGGCTCGAGGGACCGGCGCGAACGGTTTGCATCGAGAGATTAAAGAAACATCGAATGGACGTGGGCGATTTGTCGAGCTCGGCAGGATTGGCTGGGAGCGGATCCATCCCTGTAGCAACGGGTGTTGGTATCATTACAAGTACGACATCCGCCACCGCGGGGTGGTGGACGCCTACATCGACGATCGCCACCGCAGCGGCCAACACCGACGTGGTAAGTTCTTTTCTCTGCTCTTTTTTCTCGCGATCTCTCTTTCCTCGACTGGACACTGGCCGCGCGTGTCGTTCGTGTCGTCGCGAGCGGAGATCCGTCGAGTTTTGCAATGTGATTCACGTAATTTAGCTTCGAGTCTTTCTTACTTTTTTTTTTTTTTTTTTTGAGGAGGCGGTTCTTCGAGTTTCCGTTCTGATTTGTATAAATTAGGGGAGGATCAGGACGTGAGCCACTCTAGGAAAACAAGTTTTAGTATTCTAAACTCTTCGTAGCTCATTTTTTTGATCAAATGATATGATCTTTAATTGAACGTACGAGAAAAGGGACTGCAATGATTCAAATGATATAATCTGTAATTAATACGCTCTTTGATTATAATAATATAATCTTCGATTGAACATACGAGAAGAGGGACTGCAATAATTCAAATAATTTTAACGCTAGAACTACCAAAGCGGTCAAAACGACCAATTTTGTAATATTTTAGAGTAACTTTGCGGACTTACAATGTTGTACTTTTTTTTTTTTTTAGAGATTCGAGTGATTTTTGTAAAGCAAAAAAAAAAAAAAAAAAATGAATAAACGTTCGTGTTCATTATCGTATCATGAACCTTTTCCTATTCCTTGCATTCTAATTTCTTCGACTCGATTTTACATACTTTAGTCCCCGGTAGTTCTAGCGTTAATGTCAGAGTTCTTTCAGTCTCGCGAAGCGAACGCTCTCGCAACGCCAGATAATCTTAATTTTCATACAATTCCCCGGCCTCAACGATCATCCACGTCACCTCCGTAATCCACGTCATCTTCAACCCTTCCAGCCAACAATCACTCGATAAAAATTGCGGGCAATTACAGAGGCTCCGTGCCTCCTAGTCCCACCTTGTTCGACTCCCGGACAAGAAGTATAGAGGGGAATAAAGGCACCGTTGTTCCGACCAGGCCCACATTTCCCAGCGCAGCACCTTTCGCCGTCGCGCCCTTTGGCGCGCGAGAAAAAGAGAAAAAAAAGAGAAAAAAGTGGCGTGAAGCGTGCGTGCGTGCGTGCGCGCCACGGCGGTAAAGGCGAATCATCAGCCGTGTAACGGGGGGGAAAAATATCCCCGGCTGGCACGCTACTTTCATTTCTTCCTCGAGTGCCATTCGTCATCGGCATTACCTTCGCGCTGTTACTTAATGAGACGTCCCCGTGCCAGGATGCGGGTGTGCGATTAAGCGGTTAACAGCCGAGAGAGGTCGGAATATCATGGCGATCGAGAGACGTCTGGCAGAGGATTCTGACAACGTCGGGCAATGATTACAGCGGCCGTCTGTTCCCCATGCGAATAATTCTCACGACTCTTTTGTCGCGCGTCTTGGGTTGTTATTTTTCAATTGCAGGTTCATAGCACTCGGGAACGTAAATGGCCACTTTCTGAAACTTCGCCATTAATTCGTGGACGTTCCACGCATTAATTTTATTCCAACTGGCAATTATTGTCGTGCAATATCCGATCGACGTGGACTGTCCATCGATTCTGCGAGACGTAGTTGTAACGGTGTATATTCCGTCCGAAAAAAAAGGATACACGCAGTTAAATGCCGTGGCGCGGACAACGGAAAGGATAACGAAGATCGAGGAGACACGAAGGACATTATTTAGTTCCGTTGTAGTGCACCGCACCGGCGCGCAGGGATTAGAACCGAGGTGACACAGCCGCGTCATCTGTTGGACGTTTAACCTTTTTTACCTCGGGCCTCGGAGTATGCGTTCCCACAAGAAGCCATCAGCCGCCGTCTCACCCAGTTATGCCGACTCGCTGAAACGGGAAAATCATTTTTGATACGCGCCACGGCATGAACTTTCATCTTTTGGCACATGGCGAGTAATCGTCAGGAGGAGTACCACTCCGTTGGTTAATAATTGTCCTTCAATCGCTCGAAACTAATCTCTGTTCAATTAGATTTTTAATTTCGCAAGCAATTTCGATGATTGTGGGATGAGGGTGACTCTGTGTATTATTATTATTATTATTTATCGAAGATCGTATATTCGAGATGTACGACGTATAACGATGCGAGACATTGTCGTTAAAAAATAGATGGAAAGACAAACTCAATCGAGCCGCACGAGAGATGGCGCAACGTTATTGTGTCACTTGTGCCTTCCTCTGTTAACCAAGAATCGATTGTCCTTACGATCCCAGTATTTTTCCGTTAAATCTTCAGCTACACGATGCCCCGTCGACGTGCACGTCTTTCCACGCTATTATCTCAGCCTTTGGAGTCCCTCTCTCACGATGAAAACGCGAGGATCGTAAACACACCGGCATCGGAACGCGAAAACAACACGTCAGTTTCTCTCTCGGTTCGGATCCTCTAATTACTTTCCTTGATCCTCGTTCGCTGTCGATCATCTCGTCCAGTTCGTCAAGACGCCTTTTCACGCGTTAACCGATTACCACATTACATTCCACGCAAAACGGTCCAAGTAAAAGATGGATCAGATTCCTCCGAGTGAAACGTCAAACGAGAGGTTCTGCTTCTCCTCTGAATCGTCCCGATCTCGCGCGAGATACGCACACCACACACACACGACTGAAAAGAGAGAAGGGGAGAAGAAAAATCGAGTTCTAAAAATATTTCGAAACGTCCGCCGCTTCGGGACCTTTGGCCCCGGCCGTTCCGAGAGATTCTAGATTCTCGTCAGCTGACGTAACGTTATTTCCGACGGACGCTCCCTTTACATAAACGTCTCGATTGCGAAATCGCAGACTAGGATCGATACACCCTTCGCGTACGATTTTACCATTCTCGTGTCGCCGCATCTTCTTTCATAATCCCCCGACGAAATTGATTGAATCGCGCCGCGAAATATATATTTCCAATGTGAAAATTCCATTATTTGCAAATGACTCGCGGCATCCAATCGCGAATGATAAAAGTCAAGCTCACGTATCGACGCACGTGTGTACGAAACGAAACAACGTGAGATTCTTTGCGAATCTTCTTCTCTGCGCGCGTTCTCTACCGTCTTCGTTTATCTTTGCCGCGTCGGTCGTCCTTTCTCGTTCCAAACTGCCGTCTCGCGGTTGAACCTGTGCGTTCTACGCGATGCGCTCCGTAATGACTGGCTAACTAGGTTTTAATAGGAACACGGTCTCGCAACCGAATCCTCGGCTCTTCTTGCAACCTCTATAAAGAGAGAGAGAGAGAGAGGAGGAGGCAAGAAAAGGTCCCCTTTTTACCGTGACTGCGTGTCTTTTCAAGCGTGTACACGTGCATACTCACGTAATCATCTATATATGTATATCTCTCTCTCTCTCTCAAACGTATTTCGAAGATTTTCAACTCTTACGATCGGTGATTGGCGGGCAACGCAACTCTTACGATCGATTCGAACGGAATCGCCATGCCGCGAATTGATCCCATCATTCACTCGATCCTTTCCTCGATCGCGCGATAAATCACGCGCGAATCATCGCGGGAACTTCTCTCTCAAAGGCACTTACACGCGACATTTCGATACGCGGGCTTTCAATTTTTAATCGTATGTTGTTACGAGTTAGCTCGGTTTGAAAACAGTCGGATGCGAAAACGTCGTGGGTTGTCCCGTCGACCGGGAGTTTGCTCAAACATCGGAATGATTAATCCAACGTCGCTAAACGATGTCCCGCGGTCGTCGTTGAAATAAATAAGCGTTAACAGCGGGAGCATCGGTGGACATCGACGATGGATATCGTTGGTGTTTTTTTTTTTTCTTATCTGGTGTTTGGTTCGCCTGCCTTCGAAAGGAAATTATCATTATCAATTCTCGTTTTCGTTTCTCTTCTTCTTCTTCTTCTTCTTCTTCTTCTTCTTCTTCTTCTTCTTCCTCTTCCTCCTCCTCCTCCTCTTCCTACTTCTCTTCTTCTTCTTTCGCTTCTTCGTCTACGTCGTGGCGGAGGAGATGGTCGTGAGACGAGCAAGAAACGCTTCCATGATTGGCACATATTGCGCGTGCTTGCAGCATGATCACCGCCGCATTCTAAGCGTCTTCGGTTTCTTAGCCGAAGCGTAACCACATGTCGCATCTTTTTGTTGCAGATGAATCAGCTCTGCAGGGTCTGCGGAGAGCCGGCCGCGGGTTTTCACTTCGGGGCCTTCACGTGCGAAGGTTGCAAGGTCAGTATCCACGAACCCTTTGCTCTCTTTAGATCATCAGACCGGAGGAGGAAAAATTTCAATGGCCGTTTATATTCTCGCATCTTCTTTCGCTCTTACCCTTCTTTCGTCTCCCTCCCACTCCTTTTCTTTATCTCTTTTCTTCTCCAACGTATCTCTGTGTACGTACACACGCGCGTCTACATATACCTCTTCGAATGCAAATAAAATTGTAGCCTCAAGCGTGCAGACGCGTGCATCATCCTCACGTTACAATTACCGGGGCACTCTGCCGACCCACGGTCCACTCTCCGGTTTTACGTTTCTCGTGGAAAGTTTGTGAATTCACGTTTCTCGCGAAACGAAACCGATCGATTGCAATTTCTTTTGCACGCTCTGCACGCGTGGAGGGAAAGCTGCTCGTGGAAAGTTCGACGAGTTCAGTTGTACCCGTTGTCTCGCAACGTCTCGCGAAATCGCTTTTCCGATTTGACTGTAAAGTGCCATTCATGTATAACGAGCGCGCATTTCGAACGCGTTTCTCTGCTCCGCAGTCGTTCTTCGGGCGAACTTACAACAACCTCGGCAGCATCTCCGAGTGCAAGAACGGCGGCGTGTGCGTGATCAACAAGAAGAACCGCACCGCGTGCAAGGCTTGCCGGCTGAGGAAGTGTCTGATGGTGGGTATGTCGAAGTCGGGCTCCCGCTACGGACGCCGCTCCAACTGGTTCAAAATCCACTGCCTCCTCCAGGAACAGTCGCACCAGGCGCAGACGCGCCTCATCAAGGACCCCAAGTCCGCGTACGAGAAGGCGTTCGGCTCGTTGGACGTGGCCAACAACAACAACAACAACAACAATAACGAGAACCCCCCCGGCGCTACCAGCGCTACCAACGTGATGGGTATAGTGACGACGACAACCACCACCGCCAACAGTTACCATCACCACCACCACCACCACCATCACCAGCACCATCATCAGGACAGGTTCCCGAAAAGGGACGACCTGAGGCCGCAGGACATTCCCGCTCAGTTGAGGGCGCCCGACATTCCGACGGCGAGAGTCAGCCAGGATCCTCTCCTGAGGCCGGTGGATCTGGTGAGGGCGCCTCACGAACTGCTCAGGCCGGAAGTGTCCAGGTTCCCCATGTGGAGAGGGCCGCCGTTCTTCCACCCGGCTCTGTCGCACATGCAGATCATCAACACGCCGTTCTTCCCGTTTCAACAACGGTTCATCCTCCCCTACGTGAACCAGGTTGGCACGCCGCCGATGATCGCCAGCCTGACGAGCTCGTCGAGCGACAGCGTGAGCCCGAGGTCGACGCCGTCGCCGAAACGGGACGACGACAACGGGAGCGGGAACCGCGACGAGTGCAGAGGCGCGGACGGAAGTTGCGGACAGAAGAATCAGATCGAGGCGTACGACAAGAGCCTGGCGTTTCTGCGTTCATTGGGCCCGGAGCAGGAGGAGCCGATCGATTTGAGCATGAAGCCCGGCACAAAGTTGGACGGGCTAGAGGGGACGGACGCGACCGGCGGAGGTAGCACGGAGGAGGAGAGGTCGACCGACAGCGAGGACAACGAGCTGCTGCAGGACACAGGGCCGCCCCTCGATCTTACTAGAAAAACGTGACCCCGCACGCGGGGGTCAGCTCGCGGGCAGCTTTCGACAGGAACTGGACTCTGGTTGATGCGTTGAATCGTCGCTCGGAGGATTACCAGGCAGCTCCCTCGCGACGAGGAGACGACTTACGATCTTACGTTTGTCAGACACGACTCGCACACGGGGTGTGACCTCGCGAAGACGAGAGGATGGAAGGATGGAACGTCGATCTCGTCGAGACACGAACGAACGAACGAAGACGTTGGTAAAATGCTGAAGGAATCGAGTGAAATAATGGGAAAATAATAGCGCGGATGAAAAGGCGAGACATCTGGTATGAGAGACGACAGGGTGGACGAGCGAAGTAATGGATGATGGACAGCGGCAGGCAGTAGGAAAAGCACGTAGGAAGAGCGGACGTCGCCAGCCCTTGTGTGTTGCACGAATGACTTTACGATCGGCGATCGGATCGACGTAAAATTGCTCAAGCCCTCGATATTAGCCGACAGACGTACACGGCTCCCTTTGGCTTCGCCAGGTGTTCGTTGACAGAGTGGCCGAAGATAGGCTCGATACATCCTTTCGTAGCCGGACGAACGATTGTGTGCCTTAACCGATGCCTTTCAGCTCTCGTAAACGTTCGAATGCACGAGAGGGAGAGTATATGAGAAAGAGAGAATGAGACAGAGAGAGAGAGAGAGAGAGAGAGAGAGAGAGAGAGAGAGCCAGTAAAAACCACGTGATAATTTAACGTTGAGTAATAACGTGTAACAAGTACGTACGTAGACACGAACACATGTATGTATCATGTCGTGTCCGTGTGATGCGTTCGACATCATTTTTTGTTTTTTTTCTTCTTCTTTCGCGTTTGGAGAATCGCGAGACGGGTGAGTGAGGGTGTCCGAGAGGAACGAAAGCTTTTACCTTTACCGTGATATCTCTCGACGCTCGGGAATGGCCAGTGTTTCATTAAGCCGCATCGAGATTTCTTTTATTTATGCCGAGTCTTTTTATTTAACGCGATTTTAATTATTCAGTCAGTCTGTCTCGCGGATATACCTCGGTGTGGAGGCGCCCTTTTCCTTCCGTGGCCGCCCATTCGGCTGATAATGGATCGACGACAAACGCAACGCGGTCTCCGTTTCTCTCTGCGTTTACTCTCGAGTATTGTATTTGATTGCAAGATTGTAATGGAGACTACAGTGTAAATTGCGCGGAGAAAAACAAAAACGTCACGAGGCTGAAGGAAGGGGGAACTGGTCGATGACGATTGCATGATCACGCGTGTTCAAACGCACCGAGTGTTCAGCGGAAAAAAAAAAAAAAAAAAAATACGAAGTAAAATAAAGAATAAATGTGTAGCCAATACTGTGGCGCCTTGATCGTCGTTCATTAAATCTCTCCCCGATCATCGTTTCCCTTACGCGACCATTCGTAATCGCTCGTATACGTATATATCTCGAACTCGAGATGGTATCCCATTACTTTCGTCTCGCGCGTCTCCAGCATTCCGAACCGTCGTCGCGAAACGCGCACGAAAGCGATTCGCTTAGGAGCGCGTACGCGCGTCCAGTCACATCGCGCACCTTATCGCGGCGACGTTATTTATTTAGTAATAAATTTGTCCGCGCGCTGATGTACTACGAGACGACACGTTTTCTCGGATAATTCCGTTCTATGGCGGGACGCCTCTCCCAGACGGATCTTCGCAGACGCGGAGGAAAATAAACGCTCCTTAAATTCACACAACAAACACGAATATATACTATATTGATCGTAAGACGGATTACGATCCAACTTCCGTTCGATTTGATTCAATCGTGACGCGAAAACGCGCGAAGAAAGAAGGAATTTGGAGAAAGATCGCCTGTTGTAAGGTACGCGTTCGCGAAATGGAGATTGACGTCGTTGCACGGTTCGTTTATTGCTAATTACGTTTGTCTGAAACCGAGGAAATTTCACGACACGACGTGAATTTTACGGTGTATCGTAAGCTGTGATAATTTATGAAGCAACGAGGAAGAGCCATGATCTTCGCTTTGTAAAATCTCGTTACATCATGTTTCTAATGCGATCCTGTTCGACCGCTCTTTTTTTCTTTTATTCATTTATTTCTTTTTACTTTTACGTTCTTCATCGGTCAATCGACACGATCGTGTATAATCACGGTGTTATCGGAAAAATTTCGTTGCGAGCTTTGAGAAAATCTTCTTCCCCCGTAAATTAGCCTCAAATGCTTCGATAATTAATTCAAATTAATTAACTGAGATTCCGCAAAGACGAGCGTCGATTTTCAAAGACGAGCAAACGTCCAGCTCGACGAGCGGCGGAAGAGACGAGGACGAGCTGCTCGGGAGACTTCAACGACCGCGCAGGCGCGACTTTTTCGTTTCCGCGTCTCTCCTCCGTCCGCGTTCGAACGCGGCGAGAATTCACGGGAGCCATAAGATCATCGACGTTGACCACGGATCACGGTGTTCACCTGCGTGCACCTGCGTGTATTCACGAGCACTCGTGCCCGTAACCCCGGACGTTCGAATGCCTCGGGATCTTCTCTTGTTGACTTAGGTGGGACGGGGAGAGAGAAAGAGAGAGAGAAAGAGGAGAGGCCACTCGCTGTCTGTCGAACGAGCGCTCTAGTGGTTTCTTGGCCCGACGATTCAGGTTTCTCGAGCTTCTGGCCCTACGTACGCGGCGAAAAAAGGAAAGAAGCGCTACCAACGCACGATGACGTGTGCGCGAGAACGCTACGACTATTCTTGGATTACGTAAATTTGTCAAGCGGAGGTTCCTTCTTTATTTTCTCTTTCTCTCTCCCTTTCCTTTTTTTTTTTTTTTTCTCTTACAGGATGCTTTTAGACGGATTGCGCAATCGCCGAAGAGATGGTATTGCTGTTTGGTAAGATTTTATAGCTTTTACACGGTGATACTTGTCGAATTTGTTGATTCAGGCTCTATTGTAATTTCACGGCGAGTGAAAGTTTTTTTTCACCAGGGCAATTTTCGAAAGATATTCAGTATTTAATTGTAACGATGTAACACGTTACTTCTGTAAACCCGGTGACATTTTTGAGAACAAAGTTTCCGAGTAACGTTCACAGCAATTTATTTTATTTCCAGTGAAATTTTGAATCTTTGTTAGTAGTGTTAGTTAACCTTTGCTCGATTTCACTGGCGCTGGATGTTGCACCTTGGCTGGAATTAATTGTCAGAAACTTCAAGAGGTAGCGGCCAGCGTCGACGACGGACTAAGCATCTTTTGATTCCTACCGTGAAATAATTTACAAGTTACTAGAAATTCTACTCTCTCCTTCATATGAAATCTGTTTTTCATTCGTTACAACCTGGCTGAAACGCGCGTCTCGTTCACCATCTTCCTTCTATATTACGTTAATTTGCGCGCTGGATGCAGATCCTACGAGGAGGCCGTACGACACCTGTGACACCGTACATCGCGCCCACGTAAATTATCCCGGCAAGATTTACGACGCGTCTCGAGACGCGCGTACGCTCCTGTGTCTCTCGAAATTCTCCAACTTGTTGTCCGTCTGTTATTAATGTCGAAATTAGAAGAAAAAAAATCGGCCTAGCCACGACCGACCACGATAGGACGTTTCTCGAAAACAGAATTCTCTCTTACTCTCGACATTTCTCCTTCTCACTTTTACAATCTTGCTAGAATCTTGCGATATCTAGACATTTCTTGCTTAAACAAAAAAGAAAAAAAGAAATACGAATAGAACGAATTTATTTGTTCGTGCGCAATGATTTTTGGCTCTCCCGATTTCCAAATTACTTTTCAATTTACTTTGAACTTGAGTTAATAAAGGCAGAAAAGAAAAGGCGAATGAATGTCGAGAGAATCGAATTTTCAATCGAGATTTGCGACTCCGCGCTGCGTATTATCAATTTCACGTCTCGTCTAATTACCCGCCGCTTCTTCACCTTCGATTTATTGTTATCGTGTTTCTGCTTGAGTGGACAGGTACACTGCGATTTTTCACGATTTGCGTTGCAAGATCGAAAGAGAGAACGTTGCGCCACAGTGGCGACGACTTCTTGGAAACGACTGTTGGAAGCAACTCTGATAAATTGTCACGATCAATTTTTTATCGTGCCTTCGACGTCGAGAGGCGTAATTTTTCTCTCTTCGCGATTTGACCGGCGTTCTTTCTTTCTTTTTTTTTTTTTTTTTTCTCTCTCGCCGAGAACCCGCAGCGATAAATGACAAGACGCGGCTCGGAACGGGCATATGGGCGAATTGTAATTGTGTCGAGGCGTTCGCAGGTGTGCGCCTGCAACCCTTATTCATTGTTCCTCCTTTGAGATTCTTTCAGACCGATGAATACAAGCCGCATTGTCTGTTCAGTCGAGGAGATGATGCTTCCTTTATCTACCCTCGCTTCAATATTTAATATTTAATATCGATTCTACGTTTCATTCGATATCTCTTTGTATATCTCGATATAAAATTATACGCGTATGTATATTCTTGAAACACAAAAAGAGTGCAAACTTCGTACGAAGTTGTACTGTCATCGATTACCCAACTCCAGTAAATAATCGAGGAGCAATGGGGATCAAATTCATCCGGATTCATCCGCATTTTTGTCGACAAAGCATGTCGACAAGTTACAAGCATTGCAGACGTCATAAAAGCAAAAGGTTTATGGACCAAATACTAGTAAGTTGTTAAAGCTAAAACAGCTTGTTGTTAAAATAACGGCGCAAAACTATAACAATGTATTTCCTTTTGTTACAGATAAACAAGAAAACGTTTGCGGCTTGAAAGAAAATTGTTTCTGCAGAGTACACTTGCAATATTTATTTTTCGTTTACTTCACTGTAAATAAAGACAATGAAACATTATTTACTAGAAACATTTAGGTATTAGTACTCTTGAAATTACAGACTGATATTTGATGAATCTATCTTTCTCTCTCTCTCTTCTAACAGAAAATGTTTCCAAAATACTTCGTCAAAGTGCCAAAATTCTCTTTACTCGTTCCATTCCAAAATTCGCGAACTACTGCAGTTTCCGGAGATGTCTGAACGATGCCGACGACTACGACGAGGAAGAAGCGGATCACGATTCAGCAGCGGGGTCGGCAGATGCGCGGAACGGGCGTAAAGACGGGCCATTACGCGCGTGGTAAAAGAGGTTTACTACACCTGTGGCCTGTGGGCTTGGCCATCGAGGTTGTTTGCGCGTTTCCTTTACTGAAAAGGAGGACGACATGGAAAATGTGGAAAACTTTCGAGGAACGATTCTGGAAAAAGGCGTAAGGTTGACAATCCGGGGTCACGACACCGCTCGAATCACAACACACTCGGTCGTTTCGATTAGTCGCCGGGGGAAATTCATAATGCATTTTTCACAGACGTGACGGACACGAACATAGGCTCCTTTCGAGCTCCGTTTGGTCGAAGGCTCGAAGCGGACGTTTTCGCCTGGACGTTTACGAGCGTTTGACCCTAAGCGTACAGCGGAGGACACGAATAAAGGGAAAGGTCGCTTTCTTGCGGTCTCGCTAATTGGCTGCGTTTGCGCACACGCATCGTCGCGAGAGGACGTTCGACCCAATATCAATTTGCGCGCGTGACAAGAGGGTTGCGAGCTGCGAGTGAGACAACGGCGAGGCTTGTCACGGATCGTTTATAGCAATGAATGTCGATAACGGACAAATGTAATCTTCATTTGCGAACGTGAAGCGAAGAACAGAGATCAATGGATGGAACTGTGCCGTTCCTTTTAACAGAAAATTCGTGATCGTTCACTGGGGAGAGAAATTCGCGGAATGAATTTCAATTTCATGAATTCTGTCGTTAATTATCGTCCCGAGATATCGAGACGAGATTGTTAATATAGTTTGACGCCGAGTAGGAAGAATGGATAGAACGTCGAGTTTGACAGGATAACAGATAGAGGCTAAATACTAACTGGCTTTCCAGTCGTTAGGCTTGTCAATGTCTTTGATAAAGCGCCTGTCCCTTCGGAACACGGGAGTTTGTAACAGTGATCCGTAACGTGTTGCGCGGGTACTCCATTTATTTCGAACAAACTGCTCGTGCCATTAGCTTGGAACTGACGGATCGTTTGATAATAGCTGATTATTGATTAACACGGTTGTACTATCTTTTCACGATTTTCCTACATTTTTTTTCTATTCTTCGTTCGTTTGTTTCGTTGCCTCGCTTCGTTCAAGCTCGACTGCAATTTCGAAAACTTGACACCGAGGGAATGGTAGCAATGATATACGCGAGAATTGACGAAAAGATCTGGTTCTACAGAAATATCCTTGTAAATCTATTATTCATCCTTGCGGGGGCGTGAAAGTCGATGGAATTAACAACGACCGTATAATCGATGGTCACACTGTCTTGCTTGTTATTAGCGTGCAGCGAAACAAAATATTCAGTCGAAACAAAAACTAGCAGTCTACAAATGTTGCTTTACATTTCGACGGCGGTTTGTACAAAAAGAAAAAAAAAAAAAAGAAAAAGAAAAGAACTGAATACACGAGCTATTAATAACTTTGCTGTTAATTCTTAGTCTTATGGTTCCGAGACGGAATCATATACTTTATTGGACTGTTGCGTAGTAAATATCATTTCTGAGATACGTGTCAACGAGCGTAATTCGTTTTGAAACGGCAACCATTTTTCAATCGAGGTACGAGCCATTCACATCGATATACGTTTTTTTTAAAGAAATGTAAAGTAGTCGCTTTAGGAATAATTGTGAAATATTTTATGATTTAAAAGTCGAATGAAGCGAGATTTAATCGAAGATCCGAGGCATTTATTATTCAACGATCCGATGCGACAACACGCAATCTTCCAGTGTCATGCTCGGAAAATTTCCACGAAAATGAAAATCAACGATTCATTCGAGAACAAATATTTTTCGTTCGGATTGGAAACGAATTTCGCAGCGCGGTTTCGATTACTTTGAAAATTGAACGACCTTTTAATTATCCCGGGGTCTCGACGGATCCGTTCGAGCTGTGTCATCGAAACTTTCCTCATCGAAAGTTGCTGCGTAGGCGCGGGCCCGCTTTCGAGAAATCGCGCGCACGATCATTAATAAGAGCCGCATCATCGCTAGCTTAGCTGTTGTCGTGACACTTGACAAATATCGTCATTCCCCCCTTCCCACCACCCTCCCCACCACCCTCCCCACCCTTCTTTTGAACGTACCACGGTCAATTACCACAAAGAAATCACGCCGACCGTCAATTCGACCCTGGCCCTCGTCGATTAATTAAAAGATTCGACACTTATCGATCGTGCACGTATATATATATATATATATATATTGTAGAGATATAATATAAATAAAGCAGCATATATATAAATAATGTTTATTTAATGAAAATTGCGATACTAAAACAACAAATAATTAAACAAGACAAATTACTTCAAAATAACACAAATAAATTCTTAACAACTCAAATAAATTCTTTTAACAATACAATTGACACTTTTTAACAGTTTTCTTTCGACGGCTCTCATGGCTCTCACAACTCTGGTCTTTTTTTTTTTTAAAAAGAAAAGCTCTCCATGCTTACGTTGGACTTCTCGCATCACATCAAATATTTTATCATATTTCTATGATCAACAAACGTCTGTTATGTTTAAACATAAATAAAATTATAACTACTGATTAATTATAATAACCGATACTATAATATATATATATTCGAATTCAGACGAGACTCGAGGGAATTGTTCGAATAGACTCTCCGCGCTATCTGCGGATTCTTGTTCCCTGAATCGTGGTCATTTATAATGGAGGAGAGGCCGGCCACGATAAGGGAATTCTGCGGTAAACGATGCGCGGCGAGAATGCGTATTTTTCGGTGCCGGGGCGTTTCATTATGCGCGCGGCGTGGCTGAAGAGGAAGAACGAAGAGATCGAAGAGGGACTCCAATTCCGTGGGAAGAACGTTCGCATAGTGGAGAAGGAAATTCGTTATCCAATTACGCCTTCTGAATCATTTTCTCTCTCTCTCTTTCTCTTTCTCTCAGTCGTGTTGCTTTTCTATCTCTCCGCTGTCGGTTCTCTCTCTGCTAATCAAACGTGGAAATGTGAAAACTCGAGAAAAGGAGAGAGGATAAGAAGGGGGGGGGGAAGGAGGGGAGAGTGAATGCCCTGTAATTGATTCGTCGATCGGTTAAATTTGCAGGATGCCTCGCAGCTGTCAAATCGATTCGGAATTGAGAGAAATTGCGCGTCGCGCGTCGAAATTTTATTTCGCGGACAGCGAGGCAACTGTTTCAAACGGTCTCGCGTGAAGAAAAGTTTTAGACTGACCAAATGGATCGGGATCCAGGTCAGATCGATACGCGGCTGTTGAAAGGAATCAAGGTTCTGTTTCTCTCATGTCTCAATCAAATCAAAATTAGCTATCGACAGGTAAGAGATTTTTAATGCAATCTGAGCATTTTAAATTTTTTTACGTCGTAAAAGAAAATCTGTGACGTACAACTTGTAACTTGTCGATAATATTATTACAACCAATCAGATGGTTATCTATCAGATAAAAAGTTTCAGTGATTTTTGTGTTAGAAGAGAAAACCTGTAATACACAGCTTGTAATAACTTGTCGATTCTCCAATATTATTAATAAATTTGCAACAAATCAGATGGTTATCTGTCGGATAAAAAATTTCAATAAGTTTTGAATTAGTTAGAAAAGAGAATCTGTAATATACAACTTGCAGTAATTTGTCGATTCGTCAATATTATTAATAAATTGGTTTGCAACAAATTAGATAGTTTACCTCTCGGATAAAAGATGTGAGTAATTTTTGAATTAGTTGGAAAAGAGAACCTGCAATATACATGCGGTAACCTGTCGATTCGTCAATATTATTAATAAATTGGTTTGCAACGAATCAGATGGTTATCTATCGGATAAAAAGTTACTTTTGCGTTCAGAAGAGAGAACCTGTAATGTACAACTTGTAACTTGTCGATTTGCCAATATCACCAGTTAATAAATTCGTGTATAATAATGCTCGTTGAGAAGATGGCCGCGATTAAAATCCAATCGAGTCCGAATCAAATATTAATCGGACGATAAACGCGGATGGAAACGTGTCATCCGGAGAGCGGGACCATTAATAAAAGCGGCCGTGTTATCCACGATAAGGAGACCCTCCCGCATGCCGCCGTTAAAGATCCGTAGTCCTCGCGGCGGGAATGCCGTGGCACGTCCTTTCGCGCGGACTAAGGTAACTTATTCTCTGTCTTTGTGGGCGCCCTTTTTGCGCGCTCGCTCCGCGCGCCGGATAGGGTTAAGTGGGTGCGACCCCAGGACGCTAAATAATATCGAGCTGTGCCATCTACCGAGCACGTAGCGCGCCATCTTGAAATATTACGCCGGCCGCTTTATTATTCGTTTATGCGCGACTCTGCCCGCTTCACGCCGCTCCGCTCTGCTCCGTACCGCCGCTTCGCCGATCATTATACGCTCGCTTGGCGAATTCTCTTCCTTCGATCGTGAGTGCTTTCCAGAAGCGGTTACCTTTTTCTCTTCTTTTTTTTCAACTCCTCGTGTCGTCGGGTATCCATTTTCCTCGGACAACTCCAATGGCCACGCAGTGATATACTCGCTACCGCGCGAGAACGTTCGCACTGAGACTTTCTCTGGATCGAAAATTTTCGTATCTCTCATAGAGGGAAGTATCAGTAAAATTCTTATTCGAATCTATTCAACTCAAATCGATTTGTCTTTACGAATTTTCAAGTCTGCGGTTGCGGGAATGATCCGGTTGGAAAAGTGTCATACGAGTCACAAGTTAATTACAAGTTTTCTACCAAGAGCCATTCCAGAAAGTGTTGGTACCTTTCTAGAAACAGTTCTACGGTTCT